AGTTGAAACCCCGAAATCGTAGAAGTAATATTTCTGTGCAGAAAAAGATTTGTCTTAAATATTGCGAAGATGAGTTCTTCTTTCAATCGATTTTATAATTAGTCAAACAAATTGTGTCGTACAACTCAGCATTTGCAGAACTACCTTGTTCAAGCGGAACACTCGCCGCATGAACAGTTTTGTCGAAGAAACAGTGGACCATTTGTTTTTTTTTTAATTTCTCTTTCGAGATGAGCTACATGATCGAAGTTTCAATGAAAAGGAAAGCCAGAGAGATACTACATTCCCACCATTATGCGACGCGTTCCGCCGTTGTTTTGGTTCGAAGTACTTGTTCCATGAAAACCTTTCGTTAGGTTTGGCTTTTCTTCGAATATCCACACGATCGATTGCATAGATCCATGTAACGTAACCTGGGTAGGCACCGTGAAAAATTATATTCAGTACGGTATCATAATTATAAAGGAATTAAAAAATAATCAATTACGGCAATGTATGTTAATTATTACTTACCTAAAATTATTTTTAAATATTTTTATAAAATAATTTTTATTTTTATATTATTAATTTTATTTCTTTGTAAATATGAAAAATTAATAATAAAATTAAAACCATATAATTTTTTAATGATATCACTTAGTTTAGATAAATTTATAATGTACTGAATGGAACGTTCCCACGCCTCACTTTCCCACCCCTGCCGACCGAGGGGGCGACCTCCCCTTTCGTAGGGATCGCGTACACACCATAATCCGCATCATGGTGGAATGTGAGAAGGGAATAGAAAACCAGCTACAGAATCTACTCCAACAGCCAGTTTGTTATTAAGTTGCACTACTCATTTAAAAATACAATTATATTAGATTTTATAAATTCAACATTCTTGCTAAAATCTACATTAGAGTACACAGAATTAAAATCAATACAAATTTTACTGAGTGGATCTCCCATAGAATAATTTGTGCGATGAAAATCTACATATAATAGTTGATAATATCTACTAGATCGAAAAGGAACATTTATTCTAATAGATGAAATTAGGAAATCAGAGGGTATATTACCATTTAATATTTTTAGTACCATCATGGTGTTCAACATAATACGTCTACTTTTTAATGTAGGTAACCGAATTAATTTTAACCTGCTAGTGTAAGAAGGCAACACAAAATCACTATTCCAATGTAAACCCCTCAGTGCAAAAAGTAAGAATTGTTTCTGCACTGATTCGATTTTATCGGAATATATTGCATATTGAGGATCCCATACAACAGAACCATATTCTAATATAGGTCTAACAAGAGACGTGTATAGTTGTTTTGTTATATAAGGATCCGAGAATTCTTTGGCCCACCGTTTTATAAAACTTAATACACCATATGCTTTATTTACCATAGAAATGACATGATTGTTAAAGTTTAACTTTGGATCCATTAAAATACCAAGATCCACGAATGTTTCAACTGTTGATAAAACCGAACCGTTAATATTGTATTGCCTCATTAATGAAGAATTTCTAGAAAAACACATATGTTTACATTTGTTCAAATTTAAATCCATACAATTTAATCTGCACCACTGAAAAAGGTTATTTAAATCATTTTGGAGTAAATTGGCTTGTTTCTCAGAATTATGGGTAATGAATAACTTGACATCATCTGCATACATTAACAATTTAGAATGTACTACAGAAGTAGGCAAATCATTTATAAACAATAGAAAAAGAACCGGCCCGAGGTGACTTCCTTGTGGAACACCTGAAGGTACGTTAATCGATTTTGAGAGACATCCTTCAAACAAAACTAGCTGTGATCTATTTTGTAAGTAAGATGATATCCATTTGACTAAGTTTAGACTGAAACCCATATTATCTAATTTATATAATAAGAGTTCATGGTTAACCCTATCAAAAGCTTTACTAAAATCTGTATAAATGGTATCAGTTTGATTTCGCTGAACAAATCCCTTTATTACAATTGAAGTAAACTCTATAAGATTTGTTATAGTTGAAAGACCACTACGAAAGCCATGTTGATATGGACTTAAAATGGATTTAATTTTGTGAGAAATAACAGCAGTAATTAATTTTTCAAACAATTTTGGGATATCACTTAATTTTGCAATTCCTCTGTAGTTTGAAACGTTTGATAGACTACCAGACTTGTGCAACGGTACTATAAAAGATTTCTTCCATATAGTGGGAAAATAACCAAAATTTAAGGAATAATTAAAAAGCAACGTAAGAGGCGTTGCTAAAGTATCAGAACAATATTTGAGAATTATGCTAGGTATACCATCTGGACCTGGAAGTTTAATTGGTTTTAGAGTATGTAAATTTTTAGCAACATCTTGACTTTGTAAGAAAGGCATATATATTTGATCTATTTTGGATAGCTCATAAGGATATGAGCTTATATCTGGACAAACTGCAGATGAATAAGTAGAGGCGAAAAAATTTGCAAAACATTCTGCTATTTCAGAGTTTTTTACAAACTCCTTATTGTTGCATTTCAAAATTGTGGGTTTTGAGGAGACTTTTCTTTTTAAGTTAACAAACTCATAAAATGACTTCGGATTTGTTTTAAAATTATTTTTGATCTTGTTGAGGTAATTATTATACAATCTACGGGACTCTATGGTATATTTGGACCTAGCAACAGAATAATTAGCATAGTCTATAGATGAGCCTGACTTCTTATATTTTCGAAAAAGTTTATTTTTTAAATTTTTTATACTTGATAACTCACGTGAAATCCAGGGATATCTGTCAGAATTTTTAATTCTAACAGTTGGAACACATTCAGAAATAAATTTATTTAGAGTATTATAAAATTTATCTATTATAAATTCAAAATCGGTGTGATTCTTACATTGACATGCAGCTGTCCAGTTTACAGATGAAATAAGAGAATTAAGCTTTCGAAAATTGGTTTTTTTTTATAGTTAAGAATATTTTTAAATGAATCACATGAACTTTCGTTAATTGTAGAATTATGGCTCATGGTTATATATAATGTTGGATGATGATTATCTTCTGGAGTACATATAGCAGGAATTCGAATTAATTCAAAAAATTGTGTAAAATTTACAAATACTAGATCAAGGATTCTATCATTACAATTTAAAATATTATTTATTTGAAGGAGATTAATTTCACAAAATCGATTAACAATATCAAATGTATATTGGTTTACATTTGCTTCAGGTGTCAACGGCGTTAAACTTTCTGAGTCTGGCAATGAGAGCCACTTTACAGATGGCATATTAAAATCACCAAGAACTAAAATTCTATCGGAATCATTCATAATATTAATAATTGAGTTTAGTGCTGCTAAATGCTGATTATAAATATCAAGATGTGATGAAGGAGGTATATGAGCACGTAACGAATAGTTTAAATTTACCCAATTCAATTGATATGCAGATAAATTCTATGTCAGAAAAACAATTTAATTTAATTAAATTAGTGGAAAATTTGGCATCAACTGCAATAAGGACGCCGCCACCTTTTTTACCAGTACGATCTTTTCTAAATATTTGATATTTTGAACACATAATTTCACTATTTAACACAGACGTTTTAAGCCAAGTCTCAGTAAACACAATAATGCTAAATTCAAAACCAATGCTATCAGTAAATAAACGAGTTAATTTAGTGTTTAACCCCCTTACATTCTGATAGTAAATGGTAAATAGGTTATCTAGTTTTTTGATACTGGTTCAGATCTCTGTGGTAAATGAGCTAAATTATTTGATCTTTCTAGAAATTCTTTAACAAACGCTGTAGCAGGCCAAAAATCTTTCGATATCAAACTTGGAAATATATCATCATGAACTAATATTTTAAATGATGATCTACTTTCAGAGTATGCCGATCGAAGCTTGTAGCATCTTAGAAAATAATTACCATTTATTTTTGATTTGATATAGTAATTTATATCCTCAGCCGAGGTATCAGGCGCAAACCTAGACACAAAAACCATTTTCATGACCGGGGCCATTGATAATGGTCTTTGGGTAGGTAGTGGGGAATTGCCAGCTACAATCTCGGAAGGCGCACCAGATGAAGGAACTGACAACACCTGTGTACTATGAGTAGATTTGGCGGTCTTCTCAAGACTACTGTTATCAATACTCATAGCGTTATGAGGTATTGTCACTTCCAATACATCCTTGCTAGCTTCCATGGTTGCATGAGACACGACACTGGCATAAGTCTGTTCATTAACAGCATCAGTTTTATCAATATTATCTGACGCTGTTCGTGATACAGTATTCCCAGCAGAAATAGAAGCTTTACGAATAGGCATCATTTTAGTTGGTGCTTTCTTCGAAGACCGCTTTCGTTTCTGCCCAGAAACGGACGGCGATGATACAAATTCATCGAGTTCTTGGTACTTATTGAACAAATTCGAAAATTTTTCAAAACGACTTGTTAATGATGTAAAATCTTTCTTAATGGATACAAGCTCCGATTGCAAGTCTTTTACAAAATTATAAAAGTCGGCAGAAAGTTTTCTACAGTGAACACAGCACCAACGAACGCCAACATTGTCTCTAATAGTATCAACTACTTTCGCGTTGATACGAGCACACTTAACATGCCACTGATTTAAACAAAACCAACATGTAACGCACAATTCATCATCGTTAGAGATGTTACACAATTCATACGGACAGACCATTGTAAAAAATGTTTAATTCAAATATTTGAAAAAAAAAGATAAAATTCAAAAAAGTAGCTGGAATTCGTAAACAAGAATAATGTTACAACAAACAAATGAAGAAATTTAACAAGGGAAACAAACTGGGAATGGAACACGGAATACCAATAATAAAATAAATTGATTTTTATTATTGATCACAAAACACCAATTAGCACAGACAAATCAAAAATAGATTTTAAACACTGTTAACACTTTTTAAGATTCACAAACGGGTTAAAAAACACAAAATAAATATTTTTAATCAAAAACAGGAGCACGACAAAAATTTATCAACAATCACGACAGGGTTGCCAAAAGCTTAAATTGCATAAATTATATATGAAAATCTAATTGCCATACTTCTGGTACTGTGGTTAGGAAGCCATTGCAATAAAAGAGTGAAATTAGACGACAAACCAAATGGGGTACATCTTGTATTTTGGGCATTGCATTCTCTTCGAGTATGCCGATTGCTTGAACGACCAACGGTTTGACATCTAGAAACTTTTTATTTGCCAATAGCATGGCTAATTCACGCATAGACGATGAGTACTCTTCGTTGGGTTCAATGCGATTGATGGAATGCCTAAAGGGAAAATGGGGATTATAATAAAAAAAAATATGAAGCCACTTATAGATATAGCACCTACCTCAGTTCGGGATATATTGATAGAATTACAATGGCCAAACAACGTGTCAACACTTTACGCCTGAATAAAATAAAAATAACGAAAATTACTTCCATTATATTTCCACTTCCATTATATTTCCAAGTAATGGTCACTTACTTATTTGTCACAATATCCTTTTTCAAGCCAATGGCTCCCAAAAGACCATCACCCCACCCCTCGGATTGAGTAGATAAATGTTGCAGATGTCTTGATAACATTATCAATGGCTTCTTGGCATTTTGTGGTTCACTCAAAAATATTCTACAGCCCCATGAAATCATGGCACCCCATACCACAGCCATCATAGCTTCAGTAGCTGGTTCAGTTTTTATACTCTCAATTAGTTGACATAGATCTTGCATAAAGGTAATTTGATCGCCCACAGTTGGCATTTTTTCCATTTTATATAGAATGAAAATGTGCAACGTGAATATCGAAGAGTTACGCATTATGGGCATAAGCTCTAATTTTTCCAAAGACATTTGTAATATTTGCAATAATTGTACCCAACATGGTGTATGCCATTCCAAACTCGTCTCCGATGAACGAAAATAGAAAATAATGGTGGACTCCAGTAGGGTATAGGCGCCACCAATGAACGCTTTCATATGGCCCAAGGCCGACAATACGCTGCACATTAAAATGTTGCCAGGTTCGGCAGTCGTCGCCTGCCATTTGATAATGCTTTCGATGTGTAGGCTGTAGTGGGGAAGAAACAGAAAATATTTTTAAACCTTCAAAATAACGAACAAAGAACCCGGAATGCCAAGTGGTAGTTATATCGGTTGGGAAAATCTAAGGCAGGGTTTTTGGAAATCCGTACAAGAACGACACGAAAAGTACTTAATATGGTACCATTTGCATTTGGCGAACCGGTAGAAATTTGGATTCAAGGTAATTCATGAAGTATAGGATAGATCTACCAAAGGGTTTTATGAAATTGGAACCATAAGTATCCAAAAAGTACTAAAATGTACTAAATTTAGTACAATTTCGTAGCATGTGAACGGATAGATCTAAAAACTTAAAATTTGGAATGCGAATCAAGTTTGAAAATTAGATTCGAGTTAAGCAGGTGGTTTAGGAAGTGTTTACTCATGTATACGAAAAGTACTAAACGGTACTAAATTTGGTACATTTTGAATTTAGAGGAATGGATGGAGCTGCAATCCTGAAATTTGAAATTAACATTTATCTTCGGAGTGTAGGATTTCGATATTCAGGTCGTTTTGGAAATAGACGAACCTTTGTTTCAAAGAGATTCTTACGCGAATAATTTTCATTGAACTTTGCTGGTCGAATTAGTTCAATTCAATTCACTCATGTCCTGATAAATTACATCGAAAGTTGTGAAAAATCATCGCATGAAAATATTTCCGACCTTTTATTTTATTTTTGTCGTACGTTCAAACCGCACTGAGTACGTTTATGTTAGGTTTATTTAATTCCAAAATTACTTACTTTGATGTCTCTTCACTTTGGGTCTGCATGGGCAATATAATTTCCAGCATAACATTTAAGGCCTCTCTTCGTTGTTCTTCACGTGATTTGGTATTGGCCAAGGCAACCAATGATTGGTTTAAAGTTTGCAGCAATTCTTCAAAGGCATTATTAAAGACCTTCTTGCCTTCCTTGGTGGCCAATAATTTGGGATTTTTGGTGGCAGCTTGACGTTGTAAACGTATCATTGAACGGGTATAAAGTATACGCTTGGCGGTGGCATTCGAAATTTGTTGCATATCGTTGCCAATTTCCGGCATCATGGCACACGTTAAACGTAATAGACTGAAGAAAAAAATTAAAAAATAAACTTCCATACTAATCGAAAACCAAGATAACTTACTCCAATACTGCCCTATCAACATAATTCGATTCCTCGGGTATGCGTAATATAATTGTCGGCTCAACACTGGTACAAAACCATTTCAATAGATTTTCCAATTCCCCATAATCCACCATATACCATGGATATTTAATGGCATCCTCCAAAACTTTACTGGTATTAATTTGTATATGAATATTCGGTTCGAAGGCTATCTTTACAAAAATAGTAAATAGGCGAGATACAAGCGATTTGTGTGCAGCTCCCGGTATTGTCGGTAAGGTATTTTCAAACCATTGATTCCAATTAATGCGTATGAATATGTGACCCAACATTGCATGTGAATGTGGTAGGAACTGGAATTGAATAAAAGTAATTAGTTATGAAAAAAAAAATTGAAAATGAATTACCTTTTGTAGAGTATCATACAACATATCTATACATTCATGTTGCGGTTGGAAATTCTCCCATGGCAATTCTGCAATGCCTTCATGAATTGGTCCATAAATGTAATTTTCAATATTGGGCACGGCAAAGTGATGAATATACCAGCTAAAGCAATGGGATAATATTTTGTGGGAAACTGAAAAAAATTAAAGGAACAATCAAAGAAGACATTCATCAAATTTGAAATACGGTCGAGATCGTTTATAACGACATATCAGTTATAACGACTTATACAAAAGTCCCGAGAAAAGTTCCGCCGTTTACTTGCTATCGTTTTTAACGACAATCGCGTATAGTGACCAAATTCGTTATAGGCGATTTCGACTATTCCCCAAAATATCACTTACTTGGTAAATTTTCCATAATAAACATTAATGTTTGAACGAAATTTTTTATCATGATTTTACTTGTTTTTGCATGCTGTTCACTCCACGGAAACAAACGTTTACCATTGCCACTTTCCACCAACTGTCTAATCCAATTGGCCGATGATTGTCGTATGGTGTCTTCGGTATAGGTAATAAGCCAGGGTGAATACATTTCAATAATGGAACCAAAAATTAAATCACAAACTAAAATAAAAAAAAAATATATATATATATATATATATATTAGATTCTGTAAACATAAAAAATCGTATCACTTACTCTGATCCGCCAACAACTCCTGATAGGTACAAATGGCCGAGACTACAACACAATGACCCATACAAGCAAACCACATGGCCAAGGGGCCACAATAGTCTTTATGTTTCGGATAGAGACCGTGTAAACCGTGACTAAGACGTTCCTTTTGAAAATGACGAGCAAATAGCATAACCGTGTCTGTGGCAGCCTTGAGATTAAACAATGTTTGTCTGCGGGCAAAATCCATAGATATGGCCTGGATCATGTGCTGCGGTGTATCCAAATGCATTTGTACACAATTGAATTTCACCAGAAGGCTATTGAGCAAATCCAATAATACAATTGGCATAAGTTTATTATCGGAGATGCCATCCAATACCATTTGCATAACTTCGCCATAATGTTCGGGAAAATCACAATCGAATATGTGTACCAAATGACGACGAAATTGATCTTGTAGCAAACTTGAGGAAGGTTGCGACCATGATTCCAGACCTTGTAGTACTAATTGCAGCAGTTGATTGATATCATAAAGTTTGGGAGTGAAGTTTTCAAGCCATAAAATTAAATCGAACTGGAATAAGAAGGAAATAAATATTAAGATGTAGTTGCGCTGAAAAAATATGTATTCGGGATGCTTCAAAATGCCAGAAGTAACGGGTATTCTAAAACTTTGAATAGAGAAACCGGCCAATAGGTTTCCCAAATTAGTAGTGGATTTATAAAGTGTGGGATTAATTCGACAAAAACATCGGGAATTATTTATGGAGAAATTGGTAATTCCACATCTTTAATAGATACCCAAACCCTATTGAACCAAGCCTCTTCAACATGGAGATTTTTGACTGTATCTCGCTGGATGTGAATGATAACGGCAGCAATTCTACATTCAGATCCTTCCGGTGGTAGTTTCCTATTTAATTTCAATACGAAGAAAGATACCGAATCTCACCAATTAAACACAATATCGTGAACTTATAATTATAAACATGAAAATATTCTCATCAACGAAAAACGAGTTTTGAAGACTGCATAACATTTTTTGAATTAGAATTTCTTTTGATGTTCAACAACTTACCTTTGAAAAAAGAACAAATAATATTTTTGTATCACAGAGTTTCAGATGAGAGTCGATGAGAAATTTATACATTTTCAAGAAATATGGTGGTCTGGTTTGACATGGTACAAATACTCCAGCAAGGGACTTCAACAGATTTGGTCGTTTCAATGCCAATTCCAAGATTTTAAGGCCTTCATCCTCCTGATTGGCTTGAATGAAAACCTATAAAAACATAAATATAAAAAAAAACATTACCACCACATCATTCCCACACCCCATCATCAATACTTACACCCAAATCATTTAACAATTCTGAATAGAATTTATTTGTGGCATTAAATTTCATTGTAATTTCCGACATGTTCTCAATGACATGATAGAAAAATGCAATACCCGTATTACATTTTAAACGATCGTCGGCATCATGTGGCGTTGCGTTTGCCTGTTGCAAAAGTAAACGTATTATTTGACCAATGTCACCAACACTCCGAGCAAATTCCTCAACATTTTCATGTAACATTTCATCGATGATTTTATCGTGTCTCTCGCGGAATGCATCAATTTTCTGTTGTATCTGTTCATCTTTGCGTATTTTTTCGAGAATTGTAACAATACGTGCTGGATTCGAACAGCGACGATTGAAAACCAATGAATTACAATTTTTAATTTTAATCTCTTCGTAAGGCACCATTTTATAAAGCTGTACAATGTTTTCCATATAATTGCGATTTATTGAATTCAATTCGGATGTTTTGAAATGGAATTTGCTGTAAAATAAAATAAAGTTTGAAATATGAAAATTAAGTATTAATAAGTTGATTCAAATTAAAAATCTTGAAATCGAACTTAAAAAAAATAAAATAAAAATGGGCATTGTAAAATCCAATAAAAAGTCTAATACCGTATGTATTTGGATACATTGTAAATGGAAAAATAAAAAAGTCATAGCTCCTCTCTTAAGAAAAATGCATTCTTCTTTAATGAATGCATCTTTTGAATCTAACTCTAACTTAATAGTCTACTTACGTTGCTGTATTTGTTAATATTTTCAATTTGTCTTTCAATTCTTTTAAAGTATCCGTTGTTATTTCTTGCACTATTCGCTTATCCGGTTTCATATATTTCGGTGGCGGCAATTGTTTATCATATGAACTTAAATGACTTTTGATACGTTGAATGGGCGTCGATTTCGGTTTCGATTGCAAAGGTGTTCGCAATTGTTTTATGGCACGAAAACGGAAACATTTCCGTGCCCATTGATCAGCCTGATAACGTTGCTCTTTGCGTATTAATGGTAAATACAAAAATTCTGTCCAATGATGCTGAAAAAAAACCATTTCAAAGTTAGGTTATTGAAGAAATGAATGTTGACAGAGAATATTACAGTTGGTCCATTGAAAATCTCCTTTAGTTTTTCACCATTATACTGAGGTTGATATGACTCCTGATCTTTTGACATTTTATTGATGGCAGTATCTTCCAACCACAAAGCATAGGTTTTCATAATTCTACAAAGAGCGGAAGAGTAAAATTAATTGGTAACAATTTCGAACTATTTGATTTGTATAATAAAAGAAAGACTTATTCGAGCTTACCTGTTACAATTACGATAATAATAACTAAAGCTTTCGTCATTGGCATGAGTTTTCGCTTCGTTGTCATAGAATGTTTCGGCAGCCTTTAATTGGGTTTTAATCTTTTTCATTAGCGGTACATTGTATTCATAGAATTTATCCGAGACACCATAGGTTTGTTGGAAACTATGTTCATCATAGTTGGTGGGGACACGTGATAGAAATAGTTCGAAAAACTTTTGATTGACAATCGGAAAGAGTGCATGATTTATGTCCATGTTGGCAACTAAATTGGCATATTTATAAATGACCAACATGTTAGCCGGAAACACTGGCCTCTTGGCAATGGTTAGGGTTTTCTATAAAATATTATAACATATTTTATTTGAAACCTATTCATAATTTTTGTTAATTGTTCTTACCTTTAAGATTGCATCCAAATTGTTGTTGCTGCCAGCAGAACTCAATTGCCGTAACAATTCCGACCATATAAAAGAATCCTGTGTTTTAAATTCAATTTCCAGTAAAACTAAAGCCAGCCAGGGTTGATATGCCGATAAGATTGGTATTTTTGTTTGATTGCCGCCAAAGAAACCCTTCAGGCTGGACATTTTATTGGCCCCCTTCCATTCGTTGCAGTCTTTGTAATAATTATTGAAAAACTCCACACATTGTAGGTGGGCATCGGGGAATTGATAGGCCACACGTAATATTTTATCCAATAGATATACCACATAGGTGTTTTGCCAATTCGGCAAGGCCGTTAAACTATTAAGCCAAACATTTATGAGATTTAAGGGTGATGTCAGGCCATAGCTGGAAAGGAAATTTAAATTGCAGCATACTCTACATTGATTTCAAAATCAAGAACTCACTTTGTATACGATGTAATTTGATGATGTATCATATTGTCCAGCAATTCCAAAACCGGTCCCACCGAATTCGGATATACCATATCTTTGGCCATTTTCAAATATGTCTTATCAGCATTTAGTAGGGTATTGAGAATACCATGAAATTTCTCTGCATTTCCCAGGGTATCAGGGGTTTCCAAAAACAGTGGTACTATCAACTCCAAACACCGAATAACAGCTGCATGACGATGATCACTCAATAAACGTTGCATTAAATCAAACCCCTTTTGACAAATAATTGGTATCGAATGGCCATGCAATGATACCAAAATTGCCACATATAAAGCCAATGGACGATTTTCATTAACACCCTGATATATTAGGTCAACACGTTCCAATTCCGGTACAAACATAAGACCCTCGGACGGGTTGCGCAAACAACTTTTTATGGTCTCTACATTTTGATCCATTATGTGTAAACGCAACAGCGACACAATACTCCAACACCAGGTGGTAAATTGTTCCTTTGTCGATTGTGAGAAATCAATAAGACTTGACACCTGTCTAACACTTTCGGATATACCCGATAGACCCAATACTTCGGGAGCATGTTTGGTCAATGCCTCTGCTATAAGACATGCCATGCGAACATGTATATTGTGTGGCAGGAACAGGCGACCATCACAATCAAAAGACCAATTCAAATGGCTTATAATAATACGTGCTAACATATTCTCTCGAGATCTAAAATCGAAATGTAACAGCCAATTGGAAAGAATTTCAAAACTTTCCATGGAGGGTTTCCAATTTTCCAGTGGTAATGACTTGAAGAGATATACCACATTTTCACAATCATTGAAACGTATCTTCAGTTGGGTCAGTAGACATGATAGTAAATCTTCATAGGCCAGTGTTAAATTGACCAGCATATCACGAGCGGTTTTATAGCAAATATCACGTGTATCATGATTCAGATAACCGATCTAAAATATGGTAACTCTTTATCTTTGTTTTTTTTTTTTTTTTTGCAACTACCGCATATACTTACATTGAAAATATGCATACAAATTGTCTTAATTAAATCCCAATCTTTATTTTTATCCCGATCATTGGCCATTTCAAAGAAAGCTTGTAGTAAATAATAGAGATCTTCATCGGATGAATCGGCATTGGCCACATTGAATTTAGCCCAGAAATCTGAGGCACTAAAATAATCCATGTAATCTAAAAACAAATGTATAATTGTATTGGTTCGTATTAAGACAATTGGAATTGGAGTCTGTCGTGACAAAATCTATTCGGTTGCTATAGAAGGCGGGTGATATCCAAGGGTAGTATACACATGACATCGTTTTGTTTCCTCGACATGTTCCTATTGGATATGTATTTGCTTACCTTCTTCGGGCAATGAAAACTCTGTCGGGAAACCAACGTTTAAATAATAGAATATTTGCCAAACAATATCCGCTTCCATAGAAGGAAATGGCAAAGATGAAAAATATTGCCAGGTGGCCAAGTTGCGTGTACGATAAATATAACTGCAGGCCTTCAAGAGCAAAGCATTGTTTTCCAAAGCTATGCGTTCACAAACAGCAACATCTTTTGAAAGATTATTTTGCCTAAACAATATGAAAATATTTTAATAAAAAATACAGAAAAAAACATATTATTTGAATGTACCTAAACATTTCATAATAATCTGAGACATATTGCAAGGAGTGGCGCATTAAACGACCCAAACGTTTGGCCAATTGTTTATAACGTTCGGTACTGTATGTAAGCATACCGTCGCCGAACACAGTAATGAGTTGTGAAAAGAAAGACAAAACTTTCAGCATTTGTTGCGCCGAAATTAAATCCCCCTCTATGATATAGTCATCCAGGAATTTTTCTATTTTCAATGCTGATCTGTAATATAAAGGATATATATTATTCAAATTTACAATATTCATTACAATATCTACCTGAATAATTGCTCAAATGGTATTTGATTGAGTAGAGCTATTAAATCACTTTCCTTGAGACCCACACAATCACCCGAAGCTGTATGACTATCTTCACCATCCGAATCGATTAAGATCCAACGTTCTTCTTTAGCTGGATCGGTGATTTCCTTTTGAGACTTTTTAAATGTTAGCTAATTATCTGTTCTCTATTTGGCAATAAAATATACAAATATCTTTAAGACTTACTTGTGTAAATTGTTTTAGGTACTCATTACGTTTTTTGATGGGCATAAGTAGTACTTGTAACACTGACATACAATGGGAAATCTCGGGTGAATTTAATTGCAATGGTACTTCATTCGTGTGAGCTGTTGGTGTTGAGGCAATTGCTGTCATGTCTTTTGTATTACAGGGTATCTGTACATATTCACTAGCCCAGCCGCCAATACCACTGGGACACCGCAATATATTGAATAATAAAAACCAATGATCTTCCTTGGTGGCCAAACGTAAATGCAGTGAAATTAGTTTTTGAAACCATGATTTGAGATCCTCAGCAAAATCCTGAAGGAGAAGGGAAATATTTATTTTTTATTTCGTAGCAATGTGAAATATTAATATAAATAATAGCAGTATTAATTTGTATCTCTTGAAATCTGAAGGTATTAAGGGCATATTCATCGATGACACCGACAGTCCCAACGATAACACCCAATCGGCTACTGCATTGACATCTTATGATTGTGTCGATGGACCGATAAGATCTTCGTCTCCTCATGAAGATGGTTCACTGGAGACCTGAGGAGAAACCATGTTGCTATTCACAGGGCAGCATTCTGGTGAGTCTGAAAATTCGTATACTGCGTATCACTTACATTTGCAAACCACACTGGTCTCGCATAGCTTACTACTGACCGACCGGTTTTAAAAGAGATCAATAATGTTTCTTTGTAAGCGCCCCAAATGCTACCGGCTAGAGGTTTTCGATAGGTCAATTACCACCATCATTATTCGGCTGGGAGGAGTAGCGCCTCAAGTGTCTTTACTACTTGCAAGTCTTCAGTAGGTTGACCACCCTGCATATTTTCCAGCCTTCAGGAAATAGGTGGGTCGTTAACGACAGGTTGATGTTAAATACTCAACTCTGGGTCCATCCAGTTGCTTAACAGTACTATGGATATTCCGTACGGGACCAACGATTTGAATGACTTAATGTTTTTGATGACATCTGCAAAGTCCACTTTAGCTATCCATCGAATTCGTGGCATTCGCTTCTGCGTGAACCATCAGTTGCTTTTATATGCCTTTTGAGGTGGGGCATCCTCATCCATTCTCACAACATGACCTAGCCAATGTAGTCGCTGCAGTTCAACACGTCTGACTATGTCGATGTCGGAGAATAGATGGTACAACTCAAGGTTCATACTATCGGCCCATAGGTCTTTCGGAGAATTTTCTCTGAAACACTTAATGGGCTGCCTCATCTACTATAAGTATCCATGCTTCAGATCCATACAACACGGGTAGTATCAGCGTCTTGTAGAGAGTGAGTTTGGTCTGGCGAGAGGTAGCCTTATTCTTGAATTGCTTACTCAGTAGCATCTGTTGCCAACACTATTCTTCTGCGGATTTCAAAGCTGATGTTATTAGTTTTGCTTATGGCGGTACCGAAGTATACAAAATCGTTCACTACCTCGAAGCTGTGGTTTTCAAGTTCCACAATTGGTCCGATTTTACTGGACGCCTTGTGCGTTGACACAATCAGCTTGGTCTTCTCGCCATTTATTGTCATCCCCACTTTGCCAGACTCCTTCTCAATTCTTTAAAAGGTGGCTGTTACCGCGCAATGTTCGACCCATTACGTCGATGTCGTCGGCATGGGCAAGTAACATATGATGTTTGGTGTACAGAGTGCCATTTTTATTCACATTTGCATATCGTATGACCTTTTCCAGCAGGATGTTAAAAAGGTCACACGACAGACTGTCACCTTGTCTAAATCATCGTTTGGTAATGAATGGCTCGAGTGATCCTTTCTGACTTTAACTGCTGACCTTGTGCCAGACTTCAAGGGTAAGTCCAGATGACCTGTGGTTCTAGTCAGTGAAAGTTGACGTATTTATTAACTTAGGGATTGAGCCAGAAACAGAAGAAATGTATAAGTTAGCACATCCCTGCCAAACTAACAGGCAACAATGTTGCCTTTGTGAGCTTTGCTTGGTTGACTGTTGTGTGCTTAGCATGGAGTCGTGTTACGTCTGGTGGCGTGACCATGGGAAGTGTAGTGTCAGCGTATTGTCAGCAATTTTGATTTGTTTAGTTTAAGTAGAATAAGTTTTTGATTTGAATAAAGAAGTTAGTTCATTCTAACTCACCAAAAGGCACACAAGTCTTTTTATTAACTGGCGCCCAACCGGGTTTATTTAAAGGATTTACTTTGAAAAAAGTAATCTCTGACCCAACCCAAACACAAAAACAAGAACGAAAACTACCCAAGTCGTCCAACTCGCACAAAAGGAATAAGCTCAGCACAAAAACAAGAACAAAAACTACCCAAGTCGTCCAACTCGCACAAAAGGAATAAGGTCTACACAAAAACCAGAACGAAAACTACCCAACGGAGGATCTATTTTGTATGAAGTCGTCCAACTAACGCAAAAGGGATAAGCTCTACACTCTAGAAAAGACGCCCTAAGAAGCTCTAAGGATCCACTAACATATTATAATATAAAACAAAGTCATGTAAGTGTATTACTCATTGAATTTAAAAAAAAATTTTTGTCGAAAAAATTGTGTGTCCAAAAACAGGTGAAAATATCAAGAGATTTTTTTTTTTTTTTACTTCGTATAGTGCGTATTTAAAATATTTCAATTTCTGTGAAGTGATTAAGATTGTGTTATACCAACTTTTCTATAAAAAAAGATATTATGAACGCGGACGAAATTTCAAAATTGATAGAATCTGCTGTACGTGCAGCGATTCAGACACATAAATCAGAAGTCGACAAAAAAGTCGACGATCTATCAAGAAAATTGTCGTCCATTTCCATAGGAGAAACACTTCCATTTCGTTGTTGTTGGTTTGTTTCTTTGTAAATTCTTGCACAACTATTAAACTTTTTTCCAACTGCCTCTCCCTTCTACCACTTTGACATGACAAATGACTTCTTTTTTGCTTTTCTTTTAGGCAGTTTGTTTTATTTTTTATTTGTATTTTTTGTTTAATTTTTAATTAGTTGGAGATTTTTCTTTGTTTAATTTTATCCGTGTTTGTTAGCTGAAATATGTTTATTTTATTTCCGCCGAGACTAAAATGAGGAAATTATTAATCCTTTCAACATATAATTCCTGTAAGTACTCCTTTCTCGGTTCACTCTGTCAATGGACAAACACCTATTAAACAAAAAATGTTTTGTAAATTTATTCGGCATGAACTCTACATTTTTCATTTTGCCAACTTTAACAACATTTGACGCTATTGTGGGCTTAGACCTATTAAAACAAATCAATGCAAACATTGACCTAAATAAAGGAGTCATCCGACATAATTCTGGCTCTGAACTTATTGAATTTTTTGAATGTAAAGATGTTAATTTTATAGAAATTGATAAGATTGATGTGCCTTTCGCAGTTAAGGCGGATTTTCAGAAAATGTTAAAAAAACGAATGAAGGTTTTTGCTGATCCTAAAGAAGCACTACCTTACAACACAAATATCGTTGCTACTATTAACATGGAGAACGAAGAACCAATTTACTCTAAACTATATCCATACCCAATGGGGGTATCTGAATTTGTAAACTCAGAAATAAAAAAGTTGTTTTTTCAGAAACCAAAGAGAATCATGTAAAACATATCGACTGTGTTCTTAGGAAACTGCTCGATGCAAACATGAGAGTCTCTATTGAAAAGTCAAATTTTTTTAAATCCGAAGTTGAATACCTTGGCTTTGTCGTATCAAAGAGAATCATGTAAAACATATCGACTGTGTTCTTAGGAAACTGCTCGATGCAAACATGAGAGTCTCTATTGAAAAGTCAAATTTTTTTTAAATCCGAAGTTGAATACCTTGGCTTTGTCGTATCAAAAGAAGGTATAAAAACGGCACCATCAAAGATAAGTGCCATACAAAATTTCCCAGAACCAACGACGTTGTTCGCTTTGAGATCATTTCTTGGGCTAGCGAACTATTACCGATGTTTTATAAGGGACTTTGCCAAAATTGCAAAACCTTTAACCGATAATTTAAAAGGAGAAAACGGAAAAATTCCTGCAACCAAATCCAAAAAGGTTATCATCAATCTTAATGCCTCCCAACTGGATGCATTTTACAAATTAAAAAATATTCTATGTTCAGAAGACGTCTTGTTGATGTACCCTGACTATAAAAAAGCATTCGACCTTACTACTGATGCATCAGGGCATGGTCTAGGTGCTGTTCTATCCCAAGAGGGAAGACCAATCACTATGATTTCTAGAGCGTTATCGGATAAGGAGTTGAATCTCGCCACAAACGAAAGGGAACTTCTAGGAATAGTCTGGGCTCTAAAAACTCTAAGGCATTACCTTTATGGTGTGAAGACTCTTAACATCTTCACTGACCACCAACCGTTAACATATTCAGTTTCGGACCGTAATCCTAATGCACAAATTAAGCGCTGGAAAGCTTTTATAGATGAACATAATGCAAACTTATATTATAAACCAGGAAAAGAAAATCAAGTTGCAGATGCGCTATCAAGGCAAGTCGTCTATGCATTAGAGAACGAAAATTCGTCAGACATGGCAACAGTTCATAGTGAGGAGTCATACACCTACACTATGGAAAGCTCAGACAAACCGGTCAATTGTTTCCGCAACCAAATCATTCTGGAAGAGGCAGAATTTCCCGCCACTCGAAATTTTATACTTTTCGGAAACAAAACGAGACATATCATAGAATTCGGGGATAAAAACGAAATACTGGCTAAACTTGTTGATGCAGTCAATACTGAAGTAGTAAATGCCATTCATTGCGACCTACCTGTGTTGGCTCACATTCAACATGATTTGATTAAAATGTTTCCTTCAACAAAGTTCAGATTTTGTAGTAAATTTGTCGCTGACATCTTCAATCAATGCGATCAGAGAGAAATTGTTGTAAGTGAACACAATAGAGCTCATCGGGCAGCTCAAGAGAACGTTAAACAAATCCTTTCGGAATACTATTTCCCCAAAATGGTAAAAATAGCGAATGAGGTTGTTGCAAACTGCAAAACCTGTTCAAAAGCTAAATACAATCGACACCCAGAGAAACATGTTATAGGAGAGACAATAGTTCCTTCATATGCCGGTGAAATTCTACATATTGACATTTATTCAACTGATAAAAAACATTTCTTAACTTGCGTGGATAAATTCTCAAAATTCGCAGTGGTACAGCCAATAGCCACCAGAACAATTCTGGACATAAGAGAACCGATTCTCCAATTAATGAATATTTTTCCAAACACCAAAATTGTCTATTGTGACAATGAGAGGTCTTTCAACTCCGAGACTATCAGATCAATTCTGAAAAACAGGTTTAATGTCGAAATTGTCAATTCACCTCCTCTACACAGCACATCAAACGGGCAGGTAGAGAGATTTCACAGCACTCTTGCCGAAATCGCAAGATGCCTAAAAATAGAAAGGAAGATCGATGACACTGTCGAACTCATCTTACAATCGACCATAGAATATAACCGGACAATTCATTCTGTCACGAATGAGAGACCTATTGATACGATACATTCTACACCTTCTGAAGTAAGAGAAAAGATTAAAGAGCGAATCTGTAACGCGCAAAACAGGCAGTTACAATACTTCAACAAAAGTCGTTATGACAAAGTTTATAACGTGGGAGACAAAGTCTTTGTTAAGAATAATCGTAGACTTGGAAATAAAATGACCCCACTTTATGAAGAAGCTACTGTTGAAGCAGACATGGGGACAACTGTCCTAATAAAGGGGAGGGTGGTCCATAAGGACAACCTAAGATAATCCTTTCAATAAGATGTCTAAATGTTTCTTCGTCTACCTTTTATTTTTCTTTACGCAGGCTAACACTACAATTGCTTCTTATGATAAACCTCACATTTGCAAAGATTATTGATTATTCGCATTCCGATTATATTCCAATTTTGGACGGGAACGCGATTATATGGAACAAATATGGGTACTTAAGACATACGACAAACCTTACAACGTATTCCGAGATATTAGACGATACAAAAAACGCAATACAGATCTTCCCTCAGACGCATGTTAAAAAGATATTGGAGGCCGATGTATTGCATATTGATACTCTTTTAACAACACTCACCGTACATCATCGGCATGCGAGAAGCATCAATCTTATAGGCACAGCACTGAAGGTTATTGCCGGTACACCAGATGCCGATGACTGGGAGGATGTCAAATTTGTCGAGAAACAACTCGTAGATTCCAACAACAGACAAATAGAAATAAATACGAAAATACAGATCCAAATAGAAAAGTTGACCAATGCAGTAAACACAATCTTAAATACCGAACGAAAGGAACAAATTGATACTGTTAAACTTTTTGAAATTTTAATGGCTAGAAACAGAATGCTGCTTATGGAATTACAAAATATAATTTTATCTGTAACTTTGGCTAAAATCAATATTATAAATCCCACAGTTTTGGACCAGGATGATTTAAAATTTTTTATAAAAAATCAGATCAATGAGCAATACACAGATTTTACCATATCAGAACTAATGTATTTGTCTAAAGTAAAAGTAATATCAAATGAATTTTGTTTGCATTTTATCATTAGATATCCCATTCCAATACGAACATGTCAGAAAATTTCTTTATTCCCAGTTCCCCACTTCAATAAAATTATTCAATTCGCTGACACCAACACTGTGGTAGACTGTGAAGGAAAGACTTATTCAGCAACAGATTGCAAGCACGCAATATCTTCAACCTATTGTCAACTGATGCCAGAGTCAACCTGCGCTCAACAACTCATATCGGGTAAATCAGCACACTGTAATACGCAAAGCAATAATCTTAAAAAAGTGGCAGAAATCGATGATGGAATTGTCATTGTGAATGACGCTATTGCAGAAGTGAAAGAAGCAACCGAAAATGTAAGAAACATAAACGGCACATTCCTAATAACTTTTGAAAAAAATGTGACTGTCAATGGTACGCTGTTCGTAAATAGAAACAACATTGATATGCGGAAACCAGGAACACCATCATTTCCCTCAATTATTATAAACAACCACAGCGAAATTTTAAGTTTATCATCTGTCCATGAGATGAACTTGCAAAACTTACAATATATTGGCGAACTTGAAAGAGATGCAAAAGTGCGGCCAATATTAGTTGGTTGTGTTGTTTTTATGAGTATCGGATTACTCTATTCCATATTGTGCCTCATTAAGCGTAGGGTGAAGAAGAGAGAACAGCGAGATTTTAAATCTGCCGTAGCAATGGCTATAAAGAAGACCGAGGACGGCCTTCACTTAAGTGAGGGGGTAGTTAGCACATCCCTGCCAAACTAACAGGCAACAATGTTGCCTTTGTGAGCTTTGCTTGGTTGACTGTTGTGTGCTTAGCATGGAGTCGTGTTACGTCTGGTGGCGTGACCATGGGAAGTGTAGTGTCAGCGTATTGTCAGCCAATTTTGATTTGTTTAGTTTAAGTAGAATAAGTTTTTGATGTGAATAAAGAAGTTAGTTCATTCTAACTCACCAAAAGGCACACAAGTCTTTTTATTAACTTATATATAACTGAAATAGCAATAATAATATCTACAACTATTTCCTGCTCCAAATGTTAGTTTGATCCTTTCTTTCTATTAGATTTATAGCTTTGAAAAAATGTTAAGGTTTGGGAACTTTGAAGACTCATAATACGAGGTGTATAGACATTCTGAAGATAATTACTTCTAAAGTAGTTGTCTTTTTTCAGTTTTATGTTTGTATCTTACCTTATTTGGTGATAATTTACGCGAGAAATGAAACAGTATACCCAAAGCTCTTCTTATTTGTGAAATAATTTGTAACAAATGGCTATCTAATTGCTGCTGCAGTCTAAGAGGTCCTTCCAATAGATACTCATGTGTTTTATGGGGGAACAACATTATTTCATCAATCATTTGATCAATCTGTAAAAAATAAATATAACTAAAATTTGATTTAAGATAAATTTATGAAAATCCTCACCTTTATTTTAATGATTTTTGTTGTAATCAAATTACTTGTATAGGTATTTGAAATGATATCAAAGAGAACAGTAAGTGAAGAAGTGGCAGCTTCTAAATTTTTACCATCTACTTGAACAATGCTGTAAAGAAATGCAAAACAATTCATACCTGAAGAAATATTTTGAAATTCCAGCAAACACTTACTTGTATGTAACAGTTTCCCGTACTTCCACCTTGTCACCACATTTTTCCGAAAATGTTTTCGTTATGGGCACCTCCACCCATATATGCTCTTGGGCAGCCACGGCCTCTTTACGAAATTTCTTAACATCATGTAAATTCATCGTTAATTTACTTTGCATGTGATAGTATTCTTGGAGAGCAACATAAAGTGGATCCTGCTCATGCGTCTCCAATAGGGAATTTGTTAGAAATTCCATTTCGAATTGTTGTACCATTGTTAATTCCGGACAATGATAGTATTGTTTTAGTTGATCCAAGGAGAAGGCTTCTAATTTACTTGCCGAAAGACGAAAACCAGGAGATCGAATTTTCGGTGGTTTGTAGACAACTTCTGTAATGGATTCTTCATGTCGCAGTGTTTGTATTTGAGGGTATTGAACGATATTGCTGGTCGAAGGTTGAATGAGATCATGGGGAAATGTTGAAGTTTGGGGAGAACTTGAAATCAATGCCGGCGGTGCTGTGGGTTCAGTTACAATATGGTCCTGCTCATTGGAAGACTGGGTAGTAGCCGTTGTTTCATCACAAATTTCTTTTCCCTCATTTGCTTCGCTTACGATTTCATCATTTGCAACATTTTCTTTGTTATCCCTAGTTTCGTTAGTGTAATCAGAGGCAATGAAGCATTCCCGAGTTACTATGTTATCAATTGTTGCCGCTGCTGAGGCTTCAACAATTGTTGCTATGTTTTTAATGTTCGCAGTACTGCTGTGGGGATTTTGAACACCCTCCTCTTCTTCTTCCGCTACATGGTCAATAATCTCTTCATTAATGGACAGATTTTCGATTTGATTTTTTAACTCCTCTTTAATGTTGTTACCTTCTGCCTCATCCTCCTCCTCATCAGTATCTAATTGTACCGGTGCCACTCCCTTTGGTTTAGGCTTTTGTTTTTTCGATTTCTGGGAAAAAATAAATATTTATTTACACATTATTCAAATATTGAATCTGAATATTAATTTCTTACATTTTTCTTGGGTTTCTCTAAGGTAGCCATTTCGCCAACTAGATTATCTAGTTGTGACTCCAACTAATATTTTGCGATTTAATATCAAGATCTATTAATAAGGTCACCAAGATAGCAATCGAAATCGGAAAACAGCTGTTTTTTCTCAAGTCTAATGTCAAAAATTTCGACTTTGTTTACGTCATGGCCTATAAATAAGGTCACCAAGGGAGACCAGCTGATTATCGATACCTCTCAAGTTTGCTGTCAAAATGCATTATTGTGAATTGACTTCCATTATGAAAACGTAAACAAAGTCGGAATTTTTGACATTAGACTTGAGAAAAAACAGCTGTTTTCCGATTTCGATTGCTATCTTGGTGACCTTATTTATAGGCCATGGTTTACGTTTTCATAATGGAAGTCAATTCACAATAATGCATTTTGACAGCAAACTTGAGAGGTATCGATAATCAGCTGGTCTCCCTTGGTGACCTTATTTATAGGTCATGGTTTAATATCTTGCGTCGTTTATGGTCCAATAAGTCATCGACTGAATGCAAAAAATCTAAAAATCCCCGTCTTTTTGCAAAACAACAAACAAAAACAATCAACAATGAACTAGGGTTGTCCAGGTTGAGTTTTGACTTAGAGACTTTTGACAGCAAAATAATGTTATTTTCACAACATATGTCAATAATACAGGGTAGGTCATAAATTACTTCCAATCTTGATGATTTGCTATGGTACAATTATAAAAGGTAACAGCAAATCCCAGCTGATTTGATTCCAACGTAATACTAGTGTCAATATGAATTTGACAAATTATGTTTTTAAAAATCACCCAACAGGAAAATTGGGAACGCATAAAATTTGTAATTGTTCTTTATTAAATGTGCTCCTGTATTCAATTTACTAAATCTGCCTGCTGGGAAAGTTTTAAGAAGCAATTCTTCTTCTAGGAATAACTCGCTATTCCCAGCATTTTTATATGTGTTACACATATATATGGAAATGGCTCAATTATAGGAATGATGTGGAAGCGATAGAAATATAAATTTGATAGATTTTCATACGTTTTTCAATTTTTATTTGGAGGATTCGAAAATATTTCATTTTCAAAATAAAAATAATTTGATGATAATTCGTATGATTGTTTAAATTTTTCTGTCAAATGAGTTGACACTAGTAGAACTAACAACAACAAATTTCCATGTGGTTGTTGTATCGTTTTTTGTACAACAACACTTGCTGTTGCCTTCTATTATTATACCATGATGATTTGCATCGGTATAGTATGAATAGGCATATTGGTAATGTGTGAACCAATAAATAATTCAGAACAAATTTCCTTTAGGGCCACCTTTCAGAAAAACTTGAATTTTTTCCATAGATAACATTTTTGGCCTGTTCCAGAACCTGCAAGAATGTAAAATTTTTTACTACGATAACAATTTTTCCTTTATGATATAGGAAAAATTAGTATATTCTTGCAGTACGGGATCAAACTATTTGTTTCCTGTTTACGATAACAAAATTTTTTCGGGACAAATGTATACTACCTAAGATATGAGGTTACAAAGTTTGAAAAATCGCCCCAATTTTAACTAATTTTCATTCAAAAATTTGTTTTTTTTGGCCTCCTCTCAGAATAAGTTGAATTTTTAAGCATATGTAGTCTTTTGTCTCCTGATTACAAGAACACAACTTTTTCGGGGAAATATATACTTCCCGAGTTATAAGGCTCCAAAATTTCCAAAAATGTCCAGATGTTGAATATATTTCATTCATTCATATTTTCGTTATTTTAGACTTTCTTTTCCGATTAAGAATCATTTAGGCACTGTTATATGAGGACCACAACAAACAAAACAAGAAATCGACCGATATTGATTACTTTGGTGGATATTGATATTTTTGGTAGCCTATTTAATTGAAAAAATCGATCTTCGAATAATGAAGATTCTTTGTAGGTTCTGAAACAGAACAATTAATTGTACTATTACTACGATAACGAATTTTCAGTTATGTTATCGAAGAAAATAGTAAAATCTAGTAGATTATTTCAGTACGGGAACAGATTAAATATATTATTCGAATATTCGAAAGTGGACTTACGTTTTTCAATTTTAGAGAGATTTCATCAGCTAGTTGGCACTCATCCTTGCCCTGTGGAACGTTTTTATAAAAGGTTGGTTCATTCGATTATGGGAACGACACACAGCTGATTTATTTGTTTTCAATTGAAAATTACTTGACATTTTATTAGAGTTGGGCAATCTAGTTCACGTAGCGGATCGATCATTCTCGTTTCTTTTTTAAAAAGGAACTAGTTCCTTAATGTAGTTCCTTTGAACTATGTAATTACTTCATAATTAAGAGTCGAACCACGAATGAGAGAGGGAACAACGCTCGTCTGTACATGGCATTAGACTTTTCAATACAAAAAGTCGATTTACTTATCCCTAATCATAATTTGCCTAATGCCATGTTCTGACGGACATTCGAACAACGTAGTTCGCTCTCAGAATTACGTACATGAATTAACCCGTTCATACAACACTATTCCTAATTCATATCTTCAGAGTTTTTTATTTCAAACTTGTTGTTTCTTGTTTTACGCCAAAATTCTAACATATTTACATGAATCACATATGGATCTAAATAGAAAAATTAATTCTCTTTCTCCTGACTATAGTATGAACCCATATATATTTACTTTTAATTCATGTTTTCCATTTTTTCTGAAAATATTGTTGTTTTCATACATTTTTATATTTTATAAATTCAAATGTCACATATAAAAATTTTGAGAATTTTTTGTTTGAGTGTCCCCAAATTTGTTTCTTGTTTTGTACGCTAATTAGAACCATGGGGAAAGAAATTCACATTGCATTATGTAGATAACAAAATGTACATCCTGCTGCATATATAAAAACTAGACAATTTTTTACTTTTCATTCATCATTTTCAATATTACTAAAAAAGTTTGAAAATTTTATAAATATTTTCAAGCTGTCAAAATTAATTTATTATCGATAAATGCTCTCAGTTGTTAGGGATGGGACAATTTTCTTGGTGATTCAGAGAGTGATTCGAATTGAACAACGTACAAAAGTCGGTGTTCGCTCAGACAATTTTGTATGGGGAACTAAGTAATTACTTCATAATTAAGGGTCGAACAACGAATGAGAGAGCGAACAACGCTCGTCTGTACATGGCATAAACCTCATTCGTAAACAACACGGTTTCCATTTAGTCTCTATCCCACCTCATTCGTAAACTTTCGGTTATACCATTTTGAGTTCATCTTTATCGGCCATTTTGTCTTCTCCTCCCATTCGTTAGCAGGTGGAACGTTTTATTTAAATGTAACGGACAGAATAAGCATAGACAACAAAAGTTCCGTTCCAAAACCTAAAAGAATCTAAGTTTTGCAACTTTTTACTCGAAAACCGTTCCTGAACCCATAAAACTGGTAAAGCATTGAATCAAATTTAAGAGAGCACAACAAAATGGCTTTCTCTTTGTAAACTTTTTGTTATGTTGATTTTGAAGTATTGCCATCTAATTTTGGCATATTTACTAGATTTGCGTTCCCGAACTTTTCAAATTATTTTGTACTCTGAGACTTGAAATGTTTCCCTTTTACTAGCTTTACTATTAAACAAGTGAAAAAACGTTAAGTTCGGCCGGGCCGAACTTTGGATACCCTTCACCACAGGTATACTGACAGGTATTTGAAATTAAAAAGTGGACCGATATTTATAATTTTAAATAGAGATATTTGGTACCCAATATGAACCCACTGTACCAAATTTCAGCGAATTCGGTTGAAAATCGCGCTTAAGAACCTCAAAATACCGAAAATTTGGGGTGCCCTTATATGGGGGCTACCAGAAAAAGTGGGCCGATATTTATAATTTTTAGTAGAGATATTTGGTACGCAATATGAACCCAATGTACAAAATTGCAGCGAATTCGGTTGAAAAGCGCGCTCAAGAACCCCAAAATACCGAAATTGGGGGGTACCCTTATATGGGGGATATCCGAAAAAATTGACCTATATTTAAATTTTTTTGTGGAGAGATTTGGTACCTGCTAAGAACTCAAAATACTAAATTACAGCCAATTCGGTGAAAAATACGATAAAAACCCAAAAAATACTGAAAATTAGGAGGTACCGTTATATGGGGGCTACAAGAAAAAGTGGACCTATATTTATAATTTTTTGTGGATACATTTACTACAAATTCGCTTGGAAAACGCGCTCAATAAAAATTATATGGGAGCTATGCCTAAACGTGGACCGATATATCCCATCTTCGAACTTGACCTGCCTGCAGACAAAAGACAACCCTATGCAAAATTTCAGCACCCTATCTCAATTCCTTCAGAAGATAGCGTGATTACAACAGACGGACGGACATGGCTAGATCGTCTTAAATTTTACCCTGATCAAGAATATATATACTTTATAGGGTGGGAAATGAATATTTCGATGAGTTACAAACGGAATGACAAAATTAATATACCCTCCATACTATGGTGGAGGGTCATGGTATAATAATAAAAGGTAACAGCAAGTGTTGTTGTACAAAAAACGATACAACAACCACATGGAAATTTGTTGTTGTAAGTTCTACTAGTGTCAACTCATTTGACAGAAAAATGTAAACAAACAAATAAATTATCATCAAATTATTTTTATTTCGAAAATGGAATATTTTCGAATCCTCAAAATAAAAATTGAAAAACATGAATGAAAATCTATCAAATTTATATTTCTATCGCTTCCACATCTTTCCTTTAATTGAGCTATTGCCATATATATGTGTAACACATATGACAATGCTGGGAATAGCGAGTAATTCCTTCAAGAAAGATTTGCTTCCTCAAACTTTCCCAGCAGGCAGATTGAGTAAATTGAATACGGGAGCACATTAATAAAGAAAAATTGTATGCATTCCCAATTTTCGTGTTGGGTGATTTTTAAAAACATAATTTGTCAAATTCATATTGACACTAGTATTACGTTGGAATCAAATCAGCTGGGATTTGCTGTTACCTTTTATAATTGTACCATGGTGGAGGGTATAAAAAGTACTGGAACAGACCATTTGTTGGCGAAGGTTTGCGTACGACGTCGCTTGAGTCTTGGCAGAACGACGTTTAACAAGCGAATTTTATGAAGGCTGGAGTCTTGGAGGCTTCCCACTGTTCTTTTGAATCTCTCTCTCTCTCTCTTTTATTATTTTTTTTTCGTTTTCCATATATAGTTCCTTTGCTCCATATAGTTCCTTTGATCCATATAGTACCTTTGCTCCATATAATTCCTTTAGTCCATACAATTTCTTTGCTGCATATAGTTCCGACTCCTACATAGTTCTTTTGAATCTCTCTCTTTCATCATTCTTTTTTTCGTTTTTCCATATATAGTTCCTTTGCTCCATATAGTTCCTTTGCTCTTTATAGTTCCTATGCTCCAAATAGTTCCTTTGCTCCATACAGTTCCTTTGCTTCAAATAGTTCAAAAAAGGAACTGGATCAGAGAAAGGAATTATATTAATTAAAGAAATGGAACTAGTTCCGTTCGTTCCTTTCTCGGAATAGTTCCAATGAACTAGTTCGTTCCGGAACTACCCAACTCTACATTTTATAAACATTCCAAAACGAATGTAAAAATAAGAATTTTTCCAAATTAACAGAGATGAAAGTATTTAATTTATATATTTTTGATAAATATGGAACATTGATGTACTATGCCGAATGGAATCGTACAAAGAAGTCTGGTTTAACCCAGGAAGAGGTGAGTGTGTCACAACAGCTACATTGAAATGAAATTAATAATAATGAATTACTCATATTCTCCTGCAGGAAGCTAAGCTGACCTATGGTATGCTGTCCTCAATTAAATCATTTGTTAATAAACTTTCACCCCACGATCCACGAGAGGGTTTCTTGTATTATAAAACCAATAAATATGCCTTGCATTATTTGGAAACACCCTCGGGATTAAAGTGAGTTTTTGACAAAAACATTTTTTTTATATTTAGTCTATTTAATTGTATTTTCATTTTGCAGGTTTGTTTTAAATACCGACACAAATGCAACAAATGTTAAAGAACTGCTGCAACAAGTCTATAGTAAAATCTGGGTAGAATATGTGGTACGAGATCCACTGTGGACACCCGGAACACCAGTCACATCTGAACTATTTCAAACGAAATTGGATGAATTTATAAAACAATCGCCCATATTTGGTCTAAGAAATATATAAACAAATTAGAAGAGAGTATTTTTATTTACAAATTATTTGCTACAGATGGCACATAATGGTAATATTGCTTTCTTAAATCCAACATTAAAAAGCCATTGGGTTAACAAAAATTGATGTGGTGGATGTTAGTGTATATAAACAAGTAAAGACGTAGTTATGTTCGGTCGTGACAAACTTTGTATATCCTCTGCTATAATATATATATATATATATAATCGATCGGCAAACAGAAAAGGAAATATACAACTACAGACAATTATGTGTGAAGGTTTCCATTAACCACCAAGGTTCAGGAATGCCAAATACATCCATTTGGTAATGCCAAAATATATTCATTTCTGTAGGAAAATCCAAAAGGGCTGCACTTCTAATGCGGCTTTAAATAAGCTATTTTATTTTTCTTCAAGTAATACATTTTATTGAAATTCAACACTGTGGAGCAAGGGTTTATGTTACCAGTGAGATGCCCAAAAATATATTAAAAGGGACGGATGATTCCTTGGAGGCGTGCATTTTTAAGGAATATTTTTGGAGGCTTTCTGAGAGGCGTTGATTTTTTAAAAAAATATGAACTTTCTTAACAAAGCACGCATTTTTGTTTTCAAATTCAAATATTTGAAGGCGTTGATAGTTTGTATGACGATTCATCGTTAAATTATGGACCAAACTGAAGATGTATGACAGAAAAACAAAACACGAGATGTGTGCAAACTGTTAATAACAGTGATGCCAAAAATATAATAGCTAACAAATCACCTTTATAGGTGTAATAAATATATAATGTCATAGTGTAATAAAACTGCAGAATTCCCTCTAACCATTGCTGCAAAATTCATAAAAATCGGTTAAGTATTTCCGGAGTTATTCGAATTTCAATTCTACCATGTTCCGAAATATACTTTCAGTTCGATGCAGGGCGCCTATTACCAAAAAATGAAAAACACCACAAAAATCGATCTTGCAAAAATGGAAATTTTTTTCATACAGCTACAGTGTGTGTATGTGTAAGTAATTATATTTTACATTGCATAAATAACATACAATCACACCTACATATCAAGCAACATCGAACTGCGCTTTGCCCCTACAAGTATGCTATAATTTTCATACAACAGCAGCAGACATTATGAAAACAGTAGGCGACCAGAATCGAGCAGAAGGTGTATTTCGGACCATCGTTGAATTGAAATACAAATATCTTGGCAACTACTAAACCGATTTTTTTAAAGTTTCCAGATATGGTTAGAGGAAATTCTGAAGTTTTATTACACAGTGCACTGTCATTCCATATTTTTACAATTATAAAGGGTGATCTTTTAGCAATTATCTTATTTGGAAACACTGTTTTTAACAGTTTACATATATTTCGTGTACTAAATTTAGTACAATTTCGTAGCATGTGAATGGATAGAGCTAAAAACTTGAAATTTGGAATGCAAATTAAGGTTGAGAAGCAGGGTCGTTATAAGGAACTGACTTTGGAAACGCGTACTTACGTATACGAAAAGTACTATATGGTACTATATTCTGTACAAATCGAGTTGGAATCCTGAAAATTTAAATTAACATTACCGTCGAAGTGTAGGATTGGGATATATACGTAGTTTTGAAATTTGTTTTTACTTATGTGTACGAAAAATACTAAATCGTACTATAATTGGTACAATTGGAATTTGGGTGAACCGATAGAGCTGGAACAATGCAATTTGGAGTCAGGATCACTGTTGGGGTGTAGGATTATGGTATGTAGAGAATTTTGAAAATTCGTTCTAATGTGTACAATATTGTACCAAATTTGGATTTGGGTGAACCGATAGAGCTGGAAGATTTACATTTGGAGCTAGGGTCATTGTTGGGGTAGAATTGAGCTATTTAGGAAATTCCTACTAATGTGAACTATATTTTGTATAATTTGAATTTTGGTTGAACCGATGCGACGAAGTTTTGGAAATTCATACATATATCGAAATATATGGTCATATGGGACCAGTAATTTCTAAACCTTCATACCTTATCTGTTCATATCGTGAAGTTACTTGTGAGTTAATAAAAACAAACATCTTTATTTTATCATACTCCAATTTAATAATTTATTTTTACTCTTTTTTTCAAATTATCTTTACAAAATAATAATAATAGTTTTTTGTTTTATTTCTTGTTATGAATATTTTGTTTGTGTCTCTCATGGATTTACATGTTTTTAGTCGTATTCTCTATAGATTTATTATTTTATAATAGTAATAGTTTTATTTTTAATTTACCTATATGGAATAAATTAAATTCTTATCTAAATCTATCAAGGACTTGTAGGTAGTTACTTTGTATTCTAAGAAGAATAATAGTTTATTGTAGTTGTTGTTGTTTGTGTGTTTTTTAACTTATAAAAATATCATATTAAGTAAATATCAATTAAGTCACAATAACCTGTCCGACAATTTTGCTTGCAGGACAGTGCAAAGGCATCATAGATGTGGTGTGGGCTGTTGATGTGGCAAAGATGTTGGCATCTGATTTGCTGTTGAGAAGCTATCATCATCAAACATTCTCCTTATCGCTCTTAAATTTGTTGTGGTCTATACTAGGCTGGCTAGATGTTGTTGTTGCTGTTGGCGTGGAGGTAGTTTGGGTTTTTGGCATTTCTAATGTTATACTGTCAACATTGACGCCAGCGTCACCATTGACATTTGTCATATTTGTTGTTAATATCGATGCGATGGGATTTTGCGGCACTGAAGAGGCTTGTTGTTGTTGTGCGGATGGTGGACTGAGTTGCTCCATATCTGTACCCTTAATGAAAATCACATCCATGGGATTTTTGTCTTTACTGATGCTGTTGTCAGCACCAATTATAATATTGGCTTCGTTTTGTGGCTCAAAAGCGTGATTAATTTTGGCACCACTATTACTGTTGTGGTGGTGTTGGTTGGCACTGCCAACATCCAACGTCGATGGGCCATCAGGACCTCCTTGACATACTGATACACTACCATTGGAGCCAAGTACGGTAACGATTGTATTATTGACATCTTTGATGTAGTACGGCTTGTTGCCTCGCCAAAAACGTTCGTACAAACGCAACACGGTCGGGTGCAGTAATTTCCCATCGTAAGCGTCCTTAGGGTCCTGTGTCAAATAACTGGCTATATAGCCAATCAGCACAGTCAGCGCTGTGCCTATGAGACTGTAATACATATAGCTAATGGCGTACATGTGCTGCAATGGTGTCCTAGATGAAAAAAAGTGGGACGAGAAAAAAATGAGAAAGAGATCAGAAAAAACAAAACATAGAAAATACTGTGTAGGACATTGACAACTGACAATAAGCTGTGAACTATTGAAACCACCAACCAACGACGAACCAACATCAAACCACCACATTGCAACACAAAATTGTACTGGGCAATTTGTTGGCGATATCAACAGCCTGTCAATTTATCTGACTGTCTAACTCTCGGTCTGTCTGTCCGTCGCATTGTGGCTTGGCTTCACTATTCTTAGTTATTGTAGCTACAGTTTACAATTTAGTTTGTTAAAGCAAAGAAGAATACAAAGTGATTTTATTACCGTTCTTCAACAGCTGCCGTTGTTGTTGCAGGCGTTGTGAGATTTGCCACCATTGCCAGTAGAGTATCGTTTAGCATCACGTAATTGCTGTTAACACTACCGTAACCATTGATGATGTTGTTGTTGTTGATGTTGCCACTGTTGTCTAGAGGCACGGCCGGTGTATGCTGCATTAGCCAGGATGATTGAGTTGGCAGAAAGGAGTACTCATCGCTTGTAGGCTTGTGTATCGTCTGTGAAAATGTGAAATTTGAGCAGCCCTGCAGGACAAGAGAGAGATAGAAACGTTTTTAGATAAACACATACACACAAAGGAACTACAAAGGAGTGTCATTAAATTACATTTGATAAGTATGCGACTCTGAGTCGATTGCGTATATTGGGTGTGTGATTTAATAGGAGCTCGAAGTTCGGAAAGGAATTTGTAGACAAGCTTTAGGTCTTATGGAAGAGTTTTAGGAATTCTTACGAAAAAGAGGCTTTCTTCGTAAAGAACAGCTTTAGGTCTAATTTGTATAGAGAGATAAAAATATTAATGTTTTCTTCGTATAAAAGAGCTTTAAGTCTTCTTCACATAACTTTACGTATTCTTATGGAAAAGCTTTAGGGTTTCTTCGTATAGAAAAACTATAAGTCTTTTTCTTATAGAAGGGGTATGTGTCTTCTCTTCGTATAGAGGGTCTTCAGGTCTTCTTCGTATAAACGAGTTTAGGTCTTCCTTATATGGAAAACCTTTGGGTCTTCGTATAGAAGAGCTGTAGGTCTTCTTCGCATAAAAAAGTTTTCGTATTTTTGTACAGAAGAGCTTTTGTTATTTTTCGTACAGACTATATTTAGGTCATCTTCGTATATAAGAGCTTTAGGTCTTCTTCATATAGAAGAGATTTAGGTTTTTTAAAGAGCTTTAGGCATTCTTTTATAGATAAAAATTTGATCTTCCTCGTATAAAAGAGCAGTAAATGTTCTTGGAAAATCAAAATTATCCTTTTCGTGTGGAAAAACATTGGGTCTTCTTCGTTTAGAAGAGCTGATGAGTGACGAGCTTTAGGTCTTCTTCTTTAGGCATTCTTTGTATAAAAGAGCTTGTGACCTTCCTAGTGTAGGCCCCTTATATTTTTCGACCTTTTCGTATGGAAAAAGATTAGGTCTTCTTCGTGTAGAAAAGTTTTATGTTTTCTTTGGATAGAAGTTCTGTTAGATTTCTTCGTATAGAAGTTCTGTTAGACTTCTTCGTATAGAAGAGTTGAAGGCCTTTTTCCTTATAGAAGAGTTTCATGACATCTACATATAGAAAAGCTATATAGGTGAGCTTTGGGTCATCTATATAGGTGAGCTTTAGGTCATCTATATAGGTGAGCTTTAGGTCATCTATATAGGTGAGCTTTAGGTCATCTATATAGGTGAGCTTTAGGTCATCTATATAGGTGAGCTTTAGGTCATCTATATAGGTGAGCTTTAGGTCATCTATATAGGTGAGCTTTAGGTCATCTATATAGGTGAGCTTTAGGTCATCTATATAGGTGAGCTTTAGGTCATCTATATAGGTGAGCTTTAGGTCATCTATATAGGTGAGCTTTAGGTCATCTATATAGGTGAGCTTTAGGTCATCTATATAGGTGAGCTTTAGGTCATCTATATAGGTGAGCTTTAGGTCATCTATATAGGTGAGCTTTAGGTCATCTATATAGGTGAGCTTTAGGTCATCTATATAGGTGAGCTTTAGGTCATCTATATAGGTGAGCTTTAGGTCATCTATATAGGTGAGCTTTAGGTCATCTATATAGGTGAGCTTTAGGTCATCTATATAGGTGAGCTTTAGGTCATCTATATAGGTGAGCTTTAGGTCATCTATATAGGTGAGCTTTAGGTCATCTATATAGGTGAGCTTTAGGTCATCTATATAGGTGAGCTTTAGGTCATCTATATAGGTGAGCTTTAGGTCATCTATATAGGTGAGCTTTAGGTCATCTATATAGGTGAGCTTTAGGTCATCTATATAGGTGAGCTTTAGGTCATCTATATAGGTGAGCTTTAGGTCATCTATATAGGTGAGCTTTAGGTCATCTATATAGGTGAGCTTTAGGTCATCTATATAGGTGAGCTTTAGGTCATCTATATAGGTGAGCTTTAGGTCATCTATATAGGTGAGCTTTAGGTCATCTATATAGGTGAGCTTTAGGTCATCTATATAGGTGAGCTTTAGGTCATCTATATATGTGAGCTTTAGGTCATCTATATAGGTGAGCTTTAGATCATCTATATAGGTGAGCTTTAGATCATCTATATAGGTGAGCTTTAGGTCATCTATATAGGTGAGCTTTAGGTCATCTATATAGGTGAGCTTTAGATCATCTATATAGGTGAGCTTTAGGTCATCTATATAGGTGAGCTTTAGGTCATCTATATAGGTGAGCTTTAGGTCGTCTGTATACAGAGGTCAAGAGTCACACGGTAAGGGGGGCATTTCTGAGAATCAGATGCAAAACCGAGGTAAATATCAATGATGCATTGGTCACAATAATTTTTCGTTAAAATTCCGCAATATTTGCATGTATTTCAAGGACCCAAACAGTATTGAAACGACGTTGTTGAGGATCGACAAACTTGAGTTCTTAGGTTAACTGAGCTTAAAAAAATTCAAAATAACTCCCCTTATTCAGAGAACCGTTTACAAACGTCATAAATTACATATAAAATAAAACACACGCCCAATAACGAACTTACAAACCCAATCGCCATCAGACACACACAATCATATCTGTGTATACTACATAAATATTTATATATAGAATTTATTTATATTTCATTAACAAACCTCCGTTGATGTTGGTAAAAATTTATTAATCTCCGTCTTGTCGATAGTTGCAGCGCCACCAATAATCCATAGGACGAAAGCACAGGCCGTTATCATGCCAGCGGAAGTACCCTTTTTCAGACACAAATAAAGTGAACGGAAATTGTTATTAGTGTGAGTTACAGTGGTGTAAACAAATCAGTTGCTGTATTGTTTGTGCGTGTATGTATGTGCGAACGCACAATATCCTCATTGAAGTGTGTTTTGCCACCGCCATACAGGTAATTGCCAATATCATTTCAGGGTATAGAAATCAATCAGTAATCAAGCAGACCGGTAAATGCGCAACAAACAATGGATAAATGTTTTAATAAAGGCAACACCTTCGACGCCTACCTCCCTTCCTTCCCATCATAGCTTACCTTCCAATTGGCAATGGGCACCAGCATAGCCAATATAAAGCAACCCAACAATGGTCCGGATGTTGCTGAAAATGCCATCATTGATGATTCAATTACACCGGAGAGCAGGCCCACACCGAATGCAACGCCCATAATCAGTATGCCACATATCACGGTGACCGTTTTGATAAGACTCAACTGTTGACGGTCGGTGAGATTTTTGAATTTCGGTACCAATGTCAAAAAGTCCTCCCAGATGACAGTGGCCATGGAATTCAAATTGGATACCATCATGCTGGTAGAGATTTGAGAAAAAAAGGAAGAAGAAGAAGAGAAAACATAAGTCACACAAATCTGTTGCATGTATGTTGTTGCTAACTAAGGTGGTTGGCAATTTGTTTGGTACTCCACCCCCTTCTGCACTACTTACCACAGAGCTCCATTGAATAGTGTTGCCATAAATATACCCACAAAACCGGGTATAAATGCCAATTGATCTTCAACATAGAATGGCAAAATTTCATCAGCTTTATTTATATAGCCTTCGGCAAGGGGGTCACAGCTGGCATAAGAAGAATAGATAACCAAGCCGGTTATCCAGGACAGTGAGAAGAATACAAATATTATGGGTATATTGGACATCATGGCACTGAAAATAGAAAAATACGAAAATGAATTGAGATAATTATAAGATTATTGATGTTATGGAATATGGAAACCTGAAATATTTGGTCACACATCACTACTTTTAAGAAGTCTCGCAAGTCTCCGTCCAGGTCACATTTGTGATCCTAATGTGATGAATCGGATCAGTGATGCTCTGTGAAAATCGGATCAGAATTAATGGGGCCTATATGAATATATGGATGAATTTCTTTTCCCCCAACCTAATATTTTTATATATCCTAGTATATGTCCGCTACTTCGTTAGCGAATGTGGAAATTATTAAAACATGTCAAAATATAGGGGAGAGGGGGGCTCCTTTGAACGTGGGTAGTGTTGCCATAACTTTGTTGAGGAAAAATGCTAGATTAAAAAAAAGCTAAAAACATTTTTCAAGCTAAATTTGTATATTGTGCTCTACCTGGATATATAGTCTTCTTACTAGAACTTAGCAACATTGGTCCACTTTTAAGGGTAGCCCTCATCAATTGCATTGGTTTTAATTTGATTGTTTAAATTTTGTTGAATAAAAAATCTTCTTATCAAAAATTATTAATATGGGTCCAAATTTAGGGGTAGCCCCCAGAGAGCGGTACCCTCCCCATTATTCGACATTTTGGGGGCGTCGCAACCGAATTAACTAATTATGCCCCACACAACTATGTTGTCAGGGTATTATAGCTTTGTGTAGCCCCAAGAGTTTGTAAGGCCGCGAAATATTGGTCCTAGACCCACCTTTAAGTATACCGATCGTCATATCTCGACTAGCTGATTTGATCTAGACATGTGTGTCCGTCCGTCCGTCTGTCCATTATAATTTGTAAACACAATACAGGCCACAGTAATGGACCAATCTTCACGAAATTTTTCATGTAGGATGGGATCAGGCCAATGAAGACCCCCATTGTTTTTGCTAAAGATCTCATTTCCAACAGCGACTTTAATATAAAAAAATATGTTTGCCGGAATTTTTCTATTTTGGTCCTTATATTGGCACAATCTCAATATAAAGGGGTACACTCGCCTTTTCGGTAATCTAAAGTGGTTATAACATGGCATTTGGGATTCCCGCTGAATAAAAAACTTGTTTTCAGAAAGTTCCAACATAATTCATGTTCATTTTTTTACATCGCTCTCATGAAATGTACAACTTAATTTGGTTTTTCATTTTCCCAAATAAACAATCTACCAACAGACAATGTCATAGTCACCACATGAAGTAAGAAATTTGGAATGCACGGCACGTGCTGGATAGCATTGGAAAATCAAATTCATTGCGTGAAACATAGGGAAAATTCAATGCGTCAGTGTGAAATCGAAAAACGGGATTTTTTTTTTGTAAAAAATTCCTAAGAAATTAAAAAATGCTAAAAAAGTGCTAGGTGCTAGATGATTTTTTTTGGTGCTAAACGAGTTCAAAAAGTGCTAAATCTAGCACTAAAAGTGCTAAATTGGCAACACTGAACGTGGGGCACCTTTGAACAGCCCTTTTAAAATCTCGGTTTAAAATTTTTCCGACCCGAAACCAAATTTTTTTATGTGTCAATCTTGTTTTTTATCTGCGCAAACCATTTTGGCTAGCTTTTTTTCGACAAAATTTACATCAGTGACTATATTTTCGCACTGCAATTGTAAACTTTAAATTTTTTGGTTGTAAGGGCGCAGGAAGAATTCAGTGATAGTTTTTTTCGAAAAGCATTTTTTTTTGCACTCCAAAATGTTATTATAAATTTCCGTAAAATACCACAGGTGGGGCACCTTTGAACATACCCACTAAACTCCAGTAAAAACGGAGTTTTTAACTTTTGGCTTCGATTTCTCAAAGATTTCAAATGGGCTAATAAGATTACGAAATTAGCTGTATTTTTCACCATATAAATTTTTGTTTTTATGTCATTTTAGGTTTTAGTAAATTTGTATCAGATTTTTTTTGTATATATTTTTTAATAATTAATGCATTTCTGATATATATGAATACAATACATATATATTTGAACATAAACACTGTAAAAACCCATGCCGTTCAAAAACCATGCTTTGTTCAAAGGTGCACCCCTGGGGGCAGTTTTTCTACAGAAAACTACATATGTCAGAAGAGTTAATAAACATACACACTTAGTACTATTTAGTACACATTAATACGAATTTTCAAAACTTCCTACAAACTCCAGTCCTACATCCCAATTGTAATCCTAACTCCAAATATCAAGATTGCAGCTCTATCTGTTCACACAAAATACAAATTGTATCAAAATGTAGTACCATGTAGTACACATAATTACGAATTTCCCAACCTACCTTTATCATAAAATCAATAGAAAACATATTTTCCATCTTCAGAAATCCAGCCCTATCGTTTCAACCAAATCCAAATTGTACCAAATTTAGTACACATTACTACGAATTTCCAAAACTCCCAGTATATCCCAATCCAAGACCCCAACGGCGATCCTAACTCCAATTATCAAGATTCCAGGTCTATCAGTTCACCCAAAATTGAAATTGTAAAAAATTTAGTACCATTGCAGTAGTAATGTTATTTCTAAAATGCAATGTTCCAGCTATATCGTTTCACCCAAATCCAAATTTTAACAAATATTGTACGATTTGGTACTTTTCGTACGTTTAAGTAAAAAATTTGCAAAACTGCGTCCCAATCCTACACTCCGACGGTAATGTTAATTTCGAATTTCAAGATTCCAACTGCATCCGAACCTCCAAATTAAAAGTATAGCAAATATAGTACCATATACCATACATACGAATTGTACCAAATTTAGTACTTTTTTTGACACTTTTAGTTCGAATTTCCAAAAAAAAACGTTTAGAACATCTACCCTACACTCCAAGTTCTATTCGTCTCTATAGTACATATATCCTACACTCAGTGATTCTCATTCTAAATGTAAATGTTATAGCTCCACCGGTTCGCTAAATGCAAATGGTACCATTTTTAGTACCTTTTAGCGATTTTCGTACCGATTTAGTACCGTACCGTCGAATTTCCAAGAAAAACAGCCTATCTAACGCCTTTGAACTAAGAGTGATCGTCACCCAAAATTTCAAGATTCTAGCTTTAGCTAGATTATTATGGATTATTTATTATTTCATCCACTTACCGTTTAACTTCCTTCAGCGACTTCAAGCTGACATAACGTTGCATGAAATTCTGTTGACAACCGAATTGTGACAGCGATACAAATAATTGGCCGAGCCAAGCTGATGTTGTATCGACTCGTACCGAAAAATCTCCGGTGAAATTGAAGAAACTTAAGCGGCCTAGAATAGAGATAAAGAAAACGAAAATAATAATGGAATCGAATCAGACAAGAAAACATAAATATCCCAATAAAAAATACAACGAAAAAAACAAAAAAAAAATTATTTTAAATATCGCCAAACCTGACCCCTGAAGGTGTAATCTTCAACAAATAAACAAATACAAGAAAGGAACCGGGAAAGGAAACGGAAAAAGAAACGGATGTGGCTACACTTTGTCATACATACATATGTATGTACGGTGTATCATTTTGTATTAAGAGGTCAAGGTAATTTAAATAACATCATCAGCTAACCTCTTTTTTTCCATAATTCTTCTTAGCCTCCTTCTCGAGAATCGGATTGTTAGATTTTTTTGTTGAAAGGATGGAAACAATATTTACGATACATATATTCGTCCTTTTGTATGACATTTGACTTTTGTTTCGTTGTTTTATATTGACTAATAACTACGTATTTATTTGGGGGGTTTTGCAATCGTTATTGAGGATGAAGGATATATTAAGTTCGCGGTATAGTTTGTAAGGATTTTTATTTTATTTGTAAATATTTTTATTGCTACAAATGAAAACCAGTAAGGAAAGTAGTAACGTCGAGTATATTTAACAGACGAATCTTAATAAATGTCGCATTTTTAAAGGACCAGTAAAATGAAATTGGATCCATAAACATGTCATTCTGCAACCTACACTAAAGTTTTCATTTGGTCAGATATAGAAGCTATATCTAAATCTGAACCGATTTCATGAAACTTAATACACATCATTCTAGACCTAATTCATCACGCTACGCTAAATTTGGTGCAGACCGAAAGATATTAAGGGACTTTGGTACACCATTTACCTTAAATCGGACTAATATATAATATATATAATACTGTACAACAGTGTGGTGAAGGGTACAAAAATCGGACGAGAGAACGAAACTATAGCTTTATATAAATATGAACCGATTTCAACAAAACTCGGATCATAAATGCGACATTGTTAACAAAAATACATGGACGGACTCAGAAAGTGATTCTATGCATATTCTCAAAAGGAACCATGGGTCTATCCCGATTCTTTTTGCCTGTTACAAACATATGCACAAAGACATAATACCCTGTACCACGGTGTGGTGAAGGGTATAAAAAGGAGGTTTTATGGGGAGTAACCCTTAAAGGGGGGCGAATATTATTAATATTTGGGAGGGAGGTTTGTTGCCATAGACGACTACGATCCCCAAAATATCGAAAATTGGGGGGTACCTTTTTATGGGGGTTACCCGAAAAAATTGACCTATACTTATTAGTTATAGTGGAGAGATTTGCTACCTAATAATAACTCGACGTACTAAATTACAGTCAATTCGGTCGAAAAATACGATCAGAACCCCCAAAATACCAAAAATTTTGGGGTACCGTTATATGGGGACTACCAGAAAAACTGGACCTATATTTATAATTTTTAGTGGAGAATTTGCTACCCAATAAGAACCCAATTTACAAAATTTCAGAGAATTCAGTTATAAAACGCGCTCAAGAACCTCAAATCAAAATACCGAAAATTTGTAGGTACCCTTATGTGGGGCTATGCCTAAACGTGGACCGATTTCCTCCACTTCCAATAGGGTTCGTCCTTGGGCCAATTAAGTGACCTGTGCCTAATTTCATCCAAATCGGATCATAAATGCGACCTGTACTTTGTTAACAAAAATACATGGACGGACATGCATAAATCGACTCAGAAAGTGATTCTATGCATATTCTCAAAAGGAACCATGGGTCTATCTCGATTATTTTTTCCTGTTACAAACATATGCACAAAGACATAATACCCTGTACCACAGTGTGGTGAAGGGTATAAAGACCTATATACAATTTTCTAATCAGAATGTTTTAACCCTCTAAAGAATAGAAATGCCTAATTATATCCACATAAACTACTATTAGAACCCATAATATATCTAAAGTAAGACGAAGTTTTCCCTAAGAGCTATGTCAAAATTTTAACCGAAAATTAAACGGGACATTTGATTGGGAGTTATATTAAATAATTTCTGAAAATATTTTTAATAACAAGAATCCCATATGCAAAATTATAGCCACTTAGTATTATAGAAAATGGGGCTGGACTTTTGTGTAAGGGCTATAAAAAGACTTTTAAAATACTGGTAATGATGTGCTATCCTAAGATGGGGGCTATGTCAAAACATAGACCTATATATATATATATATATATATATGTCAGCCTTCAAGAACCCTTGATAATAAACTAGCATATGCCCGCTTCATCTTTAGCGAATGTGAGAATTATAAATATATTATTTTTTCTACAGAAAACTGCATATGTCCGAAGTGCGAATCAAACTACACACCAATATTGACCATAATTCAAATTTTAGAACCATTTAGTTTTCTTTGTTTTCTTATAGTACGTATTTCCAACACTACCTTCATACCTCAACACTACACACCAATTCTGACCGCAATAGAAATCTAGTTCTATACTAATTTTGGTATAATTAATTGCCTTTCTTACTATTGAAGTACTTATTTCCAGAACTAATTCAAAATTCACCAAATCTTAATATGATCAAATTTAGTACCAATTAGTACACATTAATATAAATAGAAATCTAATAGAAATAATATTACACAATTTTAGAATTCCAGCTCGTTTGCTTCGCTCAAATATAATTGTACCAAAATTTAAGAACACATTAATATAAATTTCCAAAACTTCCTACACTCCAACAGTAATCTCAAATTGAAATTTTAAAATTCCATCTCTAGCGGAATCTAAATTTGGTACTATTTTGTACGAATTTCCAAAACATCCTATATACCCCAATCCAACACCCCAAATACAAATTTAGTACACAAAAGTACGAGTTTTTTAAACTACCCCCAACATTAAATCTAATGATACCAGCTTTATTGGTTCACTCAAATCCAATTTTGTACCATTTATTACACATTGGCACGAGAACATGTGGGTAATGTCTTCAAAATACTGAAAATTAGTCCATATATATGGATCTATACCCAAAAGATTATACCGGTTTATATTGATAATTGTTGTTAGGAAGATTCGCCACACCATGAGAACCTGGAAAATCAAATTCCAGCCAATTTAATTGAAAAAAGTGTCCAAGTCCTCCAAACTACCGGAAACATTAGCCAATATTGATAGTAACCGAAATAGTGGACCGATGTACGACCATAAAAATTCATCCGTATTAAAACTTTTCCGCAAGTTTAACGTTCACTCTCTATGAACCCGGATTTCTCAATTTTAGTCAATTCAAAAGCCCTCTGCCTTACATGTTACTAGGTTCTTCGTGATTTTAAAAAAACAGTCGGACCTGGTTTTAATCAGGTCGGGGATATTTGAATGCGTTGCAAAGGGAATGACAAATTTGTAAACTTTTTTAATTGTTACTTAGTCTATCTCATATTTTATCATATGGAACCCCCATTGGGATTTAAAGTTTATTACATGCATCTACCTAGCTGATCACCCCCTATTATAGGGCATTCTATTATTCCACCGAAATCAATATTAACAAAAAAATATATTTATATTTCAAATGGTCTTCTTCCTATTTTTTGTGTTTTTTGATAAGTATGACTTATTGGCTACGAAAACCGCAATTATTTACACAAATCATTTTTAAATCTTTTGCTGGCCGCAGGACATTTGTTAAGATATCCAAAAAAAAGGAATAGAAGAAGATGAAGTAGACGGATGGACATTCGGATGATAAATATTTCAGTTTGTTTGATTTAAATAAACACAAACCTTATTAGGGGGAGATTTGTATGTGTTTTTTGTAAAACAAATCCATAAAATGGTTTTATAAACAACAACAAAACAACAACGACAAATAACAAATCCAAGGAAAATATCTTAAAGGCTGGACTAAATAAATGTTCATTTATTTGTTGTCTTCTGCTTTTTTGTGTGTTTCTTGGTCAAGTAGTAAAGCTGCAAAAATAACTTCATAAATTGGCTTAATAGATGTTGTTTCGAAAAAAAGGTGTTTGGAAGATGGGGAGGGAGGTGTTCAGGCAGTGGGCAGAACAATGAAAGGAATGGATGGATGAATGATGTGAGCATTTTATTTATGATAATTGGATTAGAGAGGACCACCGCCATCAGTCCAACACTCCTACCAGCAGTATGTGTTGTATAGGAAAATAAACAAACAGCAGAAGAAGAAGAAAACTTTAGCCAATCTTAAGGACTTGGCTTGGGGTTTTTTTCGGTTTGAAATCTTCTTCTTGAATCTTGATAGCAATGGAATTTATGACTAACAAGATTATAAACCAAAAAAGCTTTATACTAAGAAAGGGGATAATATTCCAAATTTAATTGACTTTATGGGAATTTTCGTTTTTTTTACATTTTAAAATCTTAAATAAGTTGTTATTTTTTCGGTATTTCTTTGAACAAAATAGATGATGTCTAGACAAAATACACATATTTAAAACTAACATATGAGGAGATTTAAAAAAAAACACACACACAAAGCACGTGTAATGACGGAGAACTATAAATTGTCTAAATGATTTTTTTTTACATAAAGATAATCAAATAGTTTTAGAAATGTTTAAAATTGCTGAAATAATGATCTCCTCATTGAAATAACAATATATTCGGATAGAAGACAGTATGGAAAATAAAAGGACATACGGTTCACACGTTTTCAACAAGTCTTACGATATGTTATTCTTGGTAAATACCGGTAAGTACAAAGCCGATATTATTGCCTTACAGGAAATGGACTGGCGTAAGTAAATCAGACAATTACGCACTGTATTATAGCTGCCATGAAACAAGACGTGAATTGGGCTGCGGATGTATGGTTAACAGGAGAATAAAAGACCTCGTCTCCAGATTCTCTCCAGTAGATGAGCGAAGTGCTATAATCCGTATAAAAGTTATTCTACATCAATCTTTTTTGCGACCATGCTCCGACCGAAGACATATTTCAAGAGCGCCTAGAAACAGCATATGACCGCTGCCCTGGCCATGACATTAAAATTCTGCTAGGAGATTTTAATGCAAAAATTGGAAGGGGGAATATTTTTGGTCCCAAAATTCAGCCTCCATGAAGACAACGGCATGAGGTTGATTGACTTCGCGGCAGCAAAAATCATGCTGCTAACTACAGCACCAGATTCAAGCCAAGGCCACCTGGATTTCTCCTGATCAAGCAACGAGAAATCAAAATGATCATGTTGTGATAGAGGGAAGGCATTCATCCAGTGTATTAGACGTTCCATCGATCCGAGGAGCGAATATCGATTCGAACCATTACATTGTTGCAGCCATGGTTCGCACTCGTCTTGATGTAGCAAAGGTGCGATCTAATGTAAAACGGAAAATCGACGTCGAAAAGCTGCAAACACAACAGGTAACAGAGGCCTAGTCAACTCAACTTACCCACCTGCTTCACAAAATCACTTCTTGTCCCGATAATAGTATAGAAGAACAATGGCAAAGAATTGCCCACTCCCTACAAAAAAACCACCATCAAGAAACCCATGGTACGATCAGGAGAGTCGTAATGCTACTGATGTGAAAAACGGAGCGCATAGGGCAACCCTGCAGACAGTAGCAACACGTAATGCGATGGAGAATTATCGGGAGAAAAAGAAGAACAAAAAAAAAAAAAAAACCAGTAAGGAAAGTAGTAAAGTCGGACGGGGCCGACTATATGATATCCTTCACCACTTTGAGTATATTCAACAGATGAATCCTAACAGAAGTCGCATTTTTAAAGGACCAGTAAAATGAAATTGGAACCATAAACACGTCATTCTGCAACCGATACTAAATTGTTCATTTGGTCAGATATAGAAGCTATATTCAAATCTGAACCGATTTCAGGAAACTTAACACACATCATTCTAGACCTAATTTGTTACGCTGTGCCAAATTTCGTGCAAATCGAAAGATATATAGGGACTTTGGTGCACCATTTACATTAAATCTGACGAAAGTATATGTGGGAGCTATATATAAATCTGAACCGATTTTCAGGCAACTTTACACACATCATTCTAGACCTAATTTGCTACGCTGTGCCAAATTTCGTGCTTAAATCGACTCAAAAAGTGATTCTATGCATATTCTCAAAAGGAGCCATGGGTCTATCTCGATTATTTTTGCATGTTACAAACATATGCACAAAAACATAATACCCTGTACCAGAAAAAAGAATTTGGTTCAATAACCTCAAAACCTGGGGGCTACCAGAAAAAATTGACCAATATTTATAATTTATAGTGGAGAGATGTGCTACCTAATAAGAACTCGACGTACTAAATTACAGTCAATTTGGTCGAAAAATCCGATCAGAACCCCCAAAATACCAAAAATTTTGGGGTACCGTTATATGGGTACTACCAGAAAAGCTGGACCTATATTTATAATTTTTAGTGGAGTAATTTGGTACCCAATAAGAACCCAATGTACAAAATTTCAGCGAATTCAGTTATAAAACGAGCCCAAAAACCCGAAAATACCGAAAATTGGGGGTGCCCTTATATGGGGGCTTTCCGAAAAAATGGACCTTTATTTATGATGTTTGGTAGGGAGATTTGCTACCCAATAAGAACACAAAGTACCAAATTTCAGTGAATTCGGTCGAAAAATGCGATCAAAACCCCCAAAATACCGAAAATTGGGGGTAATCTTATATGGGGGCTATCCGAAAAAATGGACCTTTATTTATAATTTTTGGTAGGGAGATTTGCTACCCAATAAGAACTCAATGTACAAAATTTCAGGGAATTCAGTTAAAAAACGCGCTCAAGAACCTCAAAATACCGAAAATTTGGGGGTACCCTTATATGGGGGCTATGCGAAAAAATGGACCGTTATTTATAATTTTTGGTAGGGAGATTTGCTACCCAATAAGAACACAAAGTACCAAATTTCAGCGAATTCGGTCGGAAAATGCGATCAAAACCCCCAAAATACCGAAAATTGGGGGTGATCTTATATGGGGGCTATCCGAAAAAATGGACCTTTATTTATAATTTTTGATAGAGAGATTTGCTACCCAATAAGAACTCAAAGTACCAAATTTCAGCGAATTCAGTTAAAAAACGCGCTCAAGAACCTCAAAATACCGAAAATTTTGGGGTACCCTTATATGGGAGCTATGCCTAAACGTGGACCGATTTTTTCCAATTTCAATAGGGTTCGTCCTTGGGCCAATTAAGTGACCTGTGCCAAATTCCAAATCGGATCATAAATGCGACCTGTACTTTGTTAACAAAAATACATGGACGGACGGACGGACAGACGGACGGACGGACAGACGGACAGACGGACATGCATAAATCGACTCAGAAAGTGATTCTATGCATATTCTCAAAAGGAACCATGGGTCTATCTCGATTATTTTTGCCTGTTACAAACATATGCACAAAGACATAATACCCTGTACCACAGTGTGGTGAAGGGTATAAAAACGTGAGAGTGAGCAAAACGAGATGTACAGGAGCCAGAATGAATTCCGGAAATTTTACCAAGTAGTAAAACACCAAACCGAAGGCAGGCACATCTTCCTGTAGAGATTAAGAAGGAAATCTGTTGACAGATTCAGACAGCGTGTTGAGGATCTGGAAGGAGCATTTTGCAAAGCTTCTGGTTTCAAAGAGTAACGGTGAAGAAGAACTGCCACAGTATAGAAGATGATGCCAGAATAACAAGTAATCGGCTAAAGAATACTAAAGAAATACTAAAGCAGCAGGTGCCGATAGATTACCTGCCGAAATATTCAAATATTCAAGGCCGGTGGTCAGATGCTGATCAGGAGCATGCACCAGCTGATTAGTATAATTTGGCTAGAGGAATGCACGTCCAATGATTGGAACCTCAGCTTCCTGTGTACCGTCCACAAAAAAGTAGGCAAGACGACATCTGCCAACTATAGAGGAACTAGTCTTCTTCCTATCACATATAAAATGCTATCCAGTGTGCTATGTTAACGACTGCAGCCAATGGCCAATGACAATATTGGATCTTATGAATGCAGCTTCAGACCTGGCAAATCCACCATTGACCAGATTTTCACTCTGCGCCTATCCAGGAAAAGATCCACGAAAAATACATCGACACATTCCAACTATTAAAGTCATGTCTGCTTTCGGCATTCCTGCAAAATTAATACGGCTATGCAGGATAGGTGGCACAAGGTCAGCAGTTAAAGTCGGAAAGGAGCTCTTCAATACCGAACGAGGATTCAGACAAGGTGACAGTTTGTCGTGTGATCTTTTTAACATGCAGTTGGAAAAGGTTATACGAGACGCAAAGGTGAACAGAAATGACACTCTGTACACAAATGGGTCGAACATTGCGAGCGGTAACAGCCACCATTGAACAAATTGAGAAGGAGTCTGCCAAGTTGGGACGGGCAGTAAATGGCGAGAAGACCAAGCTGATGGTATCAACGCGCCAGACGTCCAGTAGACTTATATACCTCGGTACCGCCATAAACAAAACTAATAACATCTGCTTTGAAATCCGGAGTAGTATATTGTTGGTCAACAGATGCTACTATGGTCTGAGTAAGCAATTCAAAAGCAAGGCCATCTCTTGCCAGGCCAAACTCTCACTCTACAAGACGTTGCTATTACCATTGCTGTAATATGGATCTAAAGCATGGGTACTTGCAGATGAGTTAGCTCTTGGGGTGCTTGAGAGGAAAATTCTCCCAAAAAAAATGCAAGAACTTTTTTCTTCAACGTTATATGAAATTAATTATTTTCTTAAATTGTTTATAGATAATTCTCAAAAATTAAAGTAATTTCATTTAATCAATCAATAGCATCTGAAAATACTGACTATGTTTACAAAACTAATCCCCGTCATTGGTCTCGCTTGCAAGCCATTGCCTTTGGTGCAATGCCAGGACAATATTGTAATAAGCAAAAATTACCTCCCACTTTTCACCAAAAACTACGCTAATTAATGTTCCGGCTTTTGTTTCATTAGATTGCACCCGATGTTGATTTAAGCCAGGAGGGGGGGGGGGGGTTTGTGTGTGAGGGGGGGGGGTTAGTGAAAGGATTGAAAACATTTGTACGGATTAAATGAACATTTGTGAGCATAATGAGAATGCTTTGCTATTATGTCAGTATTTATTTCGCAGGGGCATGAAAAACTGTCAAATCATTGCATAGATAATAAAGAGAGAGAGAGAGACAAAGGCCGAGCGACAGAGTGAGCACAATTACAGGGTAATCTACTATAGAAAATTGCTGACGATTATAATGGTGTTAAGGCGCCTTGCCACAAAAATATCACTGCATACAGCGCTGTGTGAAAGCTGAGAATGACAGCTAATGGATTTCATGGATTTCGGGGTGAAAGATGGAAAAAACAAACTGAGTGAATGAGTTGTGAATTAACTGCAATTCATGCAAAATACTAGGATATGACACTAGCATAATTTATTTTTCCTAAGAGTCATCATTGGTTTATTCACTGTGACGTATGTATATTTAAATGTTATTTTGTTCGGCTTATTTACATTCTTCTATTTATTTGTTAAACAAAATCGGTAACATATATTAGCAGATGATAGGTGTTTGAACTAATTGAAATACGAATATAAATATTGATTTGTGCACAAAATACGATTTTTCCCATTGAGAATTCAAAATACCAAATTACAGCAGATTAGGTTGAAAACCGTATCTAAAATTTTTATTTCCAAAATCGAAGTCTATAATATTTATAAATATTACAAACTTGTATATAAAATATATTTTTTAAATGAATGATCAATTAAAAAAAAATAACACACACATACCACCTTAAAAATAGATTACAATACACTCATTATAACATCCACATTACTTACCATCCTTCTGATTTATATCGTATACCCGTTTTGGACCGCCGCTAAATATTGTGCCCTTGACAATAATCACAATGGAGACAAGTATGACAGTTACCGTCTGTATAACATCCGCATTTATGGCGGCTTTAAGTCCACCCTGGCAAAATAAAAATGCGAAAAAAGAAGAAGAAGAAAAAAAAAACAAAAAATAAATAACACCCAAAAAATGGAAGCAGAGAAGAAGAAGCTGTTATCCTGTTGCAGTTAAACTCACAACAACAACCCGAAAAAAGGAGAAAACAAAAAATATTTTTTTACCTTAATGGAGAAAAAGATACAAATTGTCGCCATACCGCTAATGGATGCCCAGTATGGTATACCAATTACCGTAGACAGGGCAACACTTGGCGTATAGACGGTGACACCGAGAGAACATATTTGTCGTATTATATAGGTGGCCGAGGCCAAGCAGCGTACCATGCGAGATTTGAATCTGAAAAGAAAAAAAAAACGTATAACGAAAAGAGAATATTAAATTTGAAAAAGAAGGATTTAACTTTCATAAAAATGTGTATTTGAGAAATTTTTTAATTCTATTTGTTTTTGAGATTTCCTACAGTTGCAAATGACACACTATTTACATATCACTTGTGTACTTTACAAAGTTAATTATTATACCCTACACCACGCTGTGGTGCACAGGGTACGATGCCTTTCTTTGAAATATGAAAAGTGTAAGATATGCCATATTTAGTTTCGAAGATAAACTTAGAATCTCTTTCACCGCCCGATCGTTTTTCCGACCCTCCGTGTAAAATGATTTGTGACAAGTTTTGTTCTAATTGGTTCAGATTTAATGTAGCTCATTCAGAATCGTCCGATTTCACGCAAAACATGAACAAAATTCAATGTGTGTGGTACATTGTGCAGGGTACTGAAATGAGTGGTAGTAAGGAGTAAGTAAATCAGACGATTACGCATCGTATTATATCTGACATGAAACGAGACATGAATTTGGTTGCGGATTTATGATTAACAGGAGAATAAAAGACCTCGTCACCAGATTCACTCCAGTAGATGAGCGAATTGCTATAATCCGTATAAAAGCGAAGTTCTTCTATATCAGTCTCATTTGCGCCCGTACTCCGACGGAAGACAAAAATTAACAGACCAAAGACATATTTTACGAGCTGTTAGAAACAGCATATGACCGCTACCCTGGCCATTAAAATCCTGCCAGGAGAGTTTATGAAGAAACATCAGACAACGACATGATGTTGATTTACTTTGCGGCATCAAAAAATATGATAGTTAGCAACATCCGATTTAAGCATCTTAATATACACAAGGCCACCTGGATATATCAAACGACGAGAAATCAAAATGATCCTGATCTTGTGATAGACGGATAGAAGAAGCCCACTCCGCCCGCTCAAATCACCCACCTACTTGACGAAAGCACTTATTATCCAGATAATATAGAAGCACAATGCAAATAATTGCCCACTCCCTACAAACTGCAGCAAAAGCAACAAGAAACCGATGGTACGATCAGGAGTGTCGTAATGCTACTGATGTGAAAACGGACGCAAGTCGAGATGTACAGGAGTCAGAACGAAGTCTGGAAATTTTACCTTTCCTGTAGAGATTTTACATCTTCCTGTAGATATGAAGAAGAAAACCTGGTGACAGATACAGACAGGTGGAGGATTTTGCAAACTTTCTGGTATTAAATAGTGGCGGTGAAGAAGATACCCCTAAACCGATAAGAGATGACGGTATAGATTGTATACCACCTGCCTAGAGGAATGCATGCCCAACGATTAGAACCTCAGCATCCAGTGTCCCGTGCACAAAAAAGGAGACAATACGATATCACATCGCATATAAAGTGCTATCCAGGGTGCTGTATGTATCAAAATCCTGGATAGGAGCCCTATCAGTTCGACAGCCCTATCAGTTCAGAGGTATTTAAAGCCATGTCTGCGTTCGGCATTCCTGCAAAATTAATATGGATAAGCAGGATAATGTTGACTGACACAAGGTCAGCTGTTAAAGTCGGAAAGGGCCACTCGGAGTCCTTCAATACCAAACGAGGATTCAGACAATTGGTCCGAGTTTGCTGGATGTCTTGCGCGTTGATACCATCAGCTTGGTCTTCTCGCCATTTATTGACAGTCAACTTTGGCAGACTCTTTCTCAATTCGTTCAATGTTGGCTGTTACCGCTCGCAATGTTCAACCCATTATGTAGATGTCGTCGGCGTAGGCAATATTAAAAAGGTCGTGTGACCTTTTTAACATTCTGCTGGAAAAGGTCATTCGAGATGCAAATGTGAACAGCAATGATACTCCGTACACCAAACAAAACATGCTTATTGTCTACGCCGACGACATCCACATAATGGGTCGAACATTGCGAGCGGTAACAGCCAACATTGAACGAATTGAGAAATAGTCTGCCAATGTGGACTGGCAATAAATGGCGAGAAGACCAAGCTGATGGTATTAACGCGCAAGACGCCCAGCAAACTCGGACCAATTGTGGAACTTGAAAACTACAGCTTCGAGGTAGTCAAAGATTTTATATGCCTTGATAACGCCATAAACACAACTAATAAGATCAGCTTACAAATCAGGAGAAGAATAGGGTTGGCCAACAAATGCTACAATGGTCTGAGTAAGCAACTTAAAAACAAGGCCAGAATAAAATCACACTCCACAAGACGCTGATATTACCCGTGCTGTTGTATGGATCTGAAGCATGGGTACTTGCTCTGTTTCTGCAGCTATTGGAGTGTTTGAGAGTTTGAGGACACGAATCCGATGGAAAGATCAATGGGAGGCAGCATTTCGGAGCAAATTAGAAGATTTGCGCACAAGACCGAGGCGTCTGGAAATATTTGTTAAGCTTGGCTTATGGAACAAATGTTCTGTTACAAGCCAAGCTATGTAAGTAAGTACTGAAATGAGTCCAGAATGATGTATGTATCGATTCAGTTTTAGATACAGTTTCCAAATATAATTTCATCCGATTTCATGACACGAAAATTGTTACATCGTTTTGAATTGAGTCTAAGATGATGTCTATCAAGTTTGGTTTTAATCGGTTCAGTTTTAGATATAGCTCCCATATATAACTTCGTCCGATTTGATATAAATAGTGGACAAAATGCTCAAAATTAAGTTAGAGCTCCCAAATACATTTTCGTATTTTTTTTTTGTAAATGTTTGTCACATTTGCACGAGATTTGATTCAGCGAGTTAAATGGAGTCTGGAATGATGTGTATCAGGTTTTATTCCAATCGGTTCATATTAAGATATAACCCCCATATAGATTTTAGTCCGACTTCAGTTATTCTTAAAGTATATCCTGTATGTTCCCAAATTGGTACAGGGTATCAAACAGGCGGCACAGTCCCACATTAGCTCTGCCCTACTGGCTCTTACTTTAAATAGCTTCGAAAGTCTGCATTCCCAAGATTTCATGATGATACACATACTTCGGTAGTACTTCAAATAACACTCCAAGGCATAATTTTCAAAGACAACATGAAATTATTATCATTTGCCTTTAGTTTTCTCTGGTTCCTCACTACTTTGTCACTCACCATGGGAGGGGATATACCTACCAACAAAAAAAAAACCTTCTAACAACTCGTTATGTTGAGAATACTACTTGAAGAGTTGTTATTCCGTAGAAGAAGAAGACGAACGGAAACTTAACGATCCTCAAGGCAACAAAGGAACATATGAACGACTTGTGTGAGTGTGCGAGTGTATGTATGTGCGTGTGTGTGCATTCTTGTAAATATTGTTAGAACAATAGAAAAGTTGTAAAAATTAAGTGCATTTTGTCTTAAAACTTCAAAGAAAATTAGGAAGGGTAAGCGAACAAAAGTACCCCGACACACACACATATACACCCTTTCCCCCTCACACACACACACACACACACACAGATAGTATAGAAATTAAAGACATCTTGAGAAATATAAATGAAAAAGGACATCTGTTTACATGTAGACACGAGTATGTCTGTGTGAAGGGTGGAGTGTATGTGTATAGGTGTGTGTGTGTTTGCCTCTTACAATGTTCTTTAAGATTAGATTCCTAAAGTAGAAAAGGATGAAGAAAAAAACTTACTTATGTATTGCCGGGGGCCAATGTTTTCATTCCTAACGAAATCATCTACTGAGTAGTTCAAATTTCTGTGAGGGAGTAGAGCGAAGGGAAGAACAATTCAAAACCATTTGAAATTGCTACAAATTAAATTTATTCTAAAAAACTCTTTTCCATTATTGCTGCAAGCGGGTGCAGTGGTGTGAATTCCACACAAGCACACGAACACTTACACAAATAGTATGAAATAATTAATTTGTTTTTGTGTTGTTGCTCCACTGCTACAGTAGTTATTGTTGTTGTGTGAGTGTGTGGGGTGGTAAACCAATTGTATCATAGCACCTCATATCGTTACAATGTCTCTGCTGCCATCAAGGATACAAAAAATGTAATAAAATGTCTTGCTACATTGAAGAGCACCGATGAGACAATTTCGTCGTCGTTGCAATGCAATGCTCTTGACAAGTATTCAAGGGTGTTGTTGTTGTTGCTCTGCTGTTGCTGTTATCATCTTCCAATTGCATGTTTCATCGATGTGATGACTTTACAGTTTCATTTGTCAAATGAGTGGGTGATGCATCAACGAGGGTAGGGGTGATGAAAATTGGGAAGAAAACATACATGCAGAAGAAGGAAAGGGGTTTCCAATTAAATGTGTTTAAAATTTTAATTTTAACTCATAATGAGAGCTTTATCTAAAGCAAAACCGATAAAAAGCAATGTTTAGTATACCTCACTTTTGTTTCAATTTGGTACGCTGTGCAAAATTTTGTCTCAAGTGGACAAAGTTGGGACAATGAGGGCACCACTTAGTTGAATTTTGTCAAATATATATGTGAGAGATAAATCCGATCTGATTTCGTATACGTTATTCTAATCTGAATTTGGTGCGCTGTTCAAAATTGGACAAACTTTGGATATTTGGTCTACCGTTTAGTGAAATCGGTTGAAATCTATATGAGGGCTATATCTAAATCAGAACTGATTTGAAAAAAAAACTTAAACCAGAATGGATTAGGGGAATCCTCCCATTCTCGATTTGAAATTTTTACGATTTTCAAACGGTTGGCAAATCGACGAAAATTAATTAAAAAAATGTTGTTGTTGTAGCAGCCCTATTACTTTCACACAATGGGCTGAGGTGACAGACGTTGGCCGAGTATAACTCGGGTCGTTTCGAATTGTAGACCCCTCTGTCGTGGAAACGTGAAACAATTTTGTTGTTGTTTTTCTTGTAGTTGTTTTTTATAATTAAAGAAAAATCCTTTTTTTTCGACGACGGGCATGATTTCCGATCACTGGAACGTACGATTCCAAAAATGTCAAATGACATTCGAAAGAGTGCATATCTGGATTTGGTATGAAGTTAAA